ATGTATATATATATATATATATATATATATATATACATATATTTTAAATATATTCATGTGTAAAAAAGACAGGACATCACCTTTTATTTCATATCATTCATTGTAGTGATTTAAAAATGCATGTAAAAAATATATACATTTTGATTAATGTATGGCAATTTTAGGTTTTGTTATAATACATGAATTATAGATATCAATCAAGAGGTTCATTTTATTTTTTATATCTACTGTCTGTTAGTAAGCTGTATTAGCAGTATTGAAAATGTTCTCCCAGAAACATCTCCATAAATTGTATTTTTGTGAAATTGTTTATGGAATTGAACAATACGTTATATTCATGTTAACATCACTTAATGGATGACTCCATGTCCAGAAGCCATAGACTTAAATAATTGTCATAGTTCAATCTAACGCCAATGTTTGAGTAATAGATTGCAGTGAATCCTTCAGTGTTTCTCTGAAACTGATTTAGTCCAGCTGAGTGTGTGTGATGGTTTTTGTCAGTCGGGGTTGTGCAGAGTTCAGCAGCTCTGCCCACAGAGGAGCTCCGCATCCTGCTGAGCTGCTGAGCTGCTGACCCAGGGCCTGCTGCTTTGCAGCAAACACATCTGCACAGTCCTTGTCTGCCAGGAGCCTCAGAGGCTTCTTGATCCCACCTGATGGACCTCCTCACAGCCAAAGCATTCCTAACCTAAGACTGTTTTAGAGATGATCAACACACCCCTGCGCCTCACTGGAGCCTCTAGAAACACATTGGGAGAACATGCTTCAGTTACGTTTCGGAAGTTTATTTTTGTGTCATGGTCACTGAAACTGTCTGGTTGTAATCTGAGTGATAACATCTCGGTCATGTCTTCAGGGTCGACGGTGGCGCAGTACAGAGTAGAGAGGGTATGCCGGGAACTGCAAGGTTGGTGGTTGGAGCCCTGGCTGCTCCATGTCCTATGTTGAAGTGTCCATGAGCAAGACACCTAACCCCTAATTGCTCCCTAGGCAAAAATGTAAAAGCCACGGGTTAAAAAAAAAAGTAAAACGCAAGTCCACACACTAGAGCCGCCTCTCCTCTGTCCTCATCCTTCTTAAGCTTTCTGCTGCATTTGACACAGTAAACCACCAGATCCTTATTTCCTCCCTTCAGGAACTTGATGTCACAGGCTCTGCTCTCTCCCTTCTCTCGTCCTACATTGACGGCCGCACCTACCGGGTAACCTGGAGAGGATCTGTGTCGGAACCTTGTCTTCTTACTACTGGAGTTCCCTCCTCTTCTCGCTCTACACCAACTCTCTCTGCTCTGTCATTCGCTCGCATGGCATCTCCTACCACAGCTACGCCAATGACACCCAACTAATTCTCTCCTTTCCTCACTCGGGTGGCGGCACTGATCTCTGCCTGTCTGACTGACATCTCTCAGTGGATGTCCGCCCACCACCTGAAAATCAACCCCGACAAGACTGAACTACTTCTCTTCCCGGGAAAAGATTCTTGTGTCCAGGACTTGACGGTCAACTTTGGCATCTCTGTGTTAACGCCGACTGTGACTGCTAGGAACCTCGACGTGACACGTGACAGCCAACTCTCCCTGACTCCCAACATCACAACACGATCCTGTAGATACACGCTCTACAACATCAGGAGAATACGTCCCCTTCTCACTCAGAAGGCGGCGCAGGTACTGATTCAGGCTCTTGTCATCTCCCGCCTGGACTACTGTAACTCTCTCCTGGCTGGTCACCGTGCTACCACCATTCGACCTCTGCAGCTCATCCAGAATGTAGCAGCTCGACTGGTCTTTAACCTTCCGAAATTCTCCCACACTACTCCACTCCTCCGCTCTCTTCACTGGCTACCGGTGGCTGCCCGCATCCAGTTCAAAACATTTGTGCTCACCTACCATGCTGTGAATGGATCGGGTCCACATCCTACATGGTCTACATCCAGTACATGGTCAAACCCTACATCCCAACCCGCGCTCTCCGCATCTGCAAAACTGCTTGTTCCTCCCTCATTGAGAGCAAAACACTCAACAAGATCACGACTCTTTGCTGTCCTGGCTCCGAAATGGTGGAATGAGCTCTCTGATGACATCCGGACCGCAAAGAGCCTTCACATGTTCCACTGCAAACTAAAGACACACCTTCAGACTCTACCTCGACTAAAAGACTAACAAATTGTAGCACCTAAATTGTACTTATAATGGCACTTATCTATAGCAAATTGTAACTTGGCTTATTTGATGAAATCGCACTTTGTTGTTTCTTGCTCTTCTTTGTATCCCTATGGTTGAATGCACCTATTGTAAGTCTCTTTGGATAAAAGCGCCAGCTAAATGACATGTAATGTAATGTAAATGACCTGTAATGTAATGTTATCTCATTTTATATCTACAAAAATATAAATTGATGCTCTGGATTGAACTCTTCCCTTTTTTTCCCTCTTGGAAGGGTTTTTTCATTTTTTGGGGAGTTTTTCCTGTGCCGATGTGTGGGTTTCGGGACAGAGGATGTCGTATGTGAACAGACTGTAAAGCCTCTGAGGAACAACTGGAATCTTCTCAACACCCCAAAGACTTAAAATAAAATTCTCTCTTTTTTTATACTAGAGACAGGAATACAGATATACTGGTGAAGTTTATATTTTAATGAAAATAAACCATATTGTAAGCTTCTCTTTTTATGCAGGAGACAGTCAAATCAGGTTCATGAGTAACTCTAAAAGAAATATGTATGATAAACCCCCCCCGTATCCTCAATGGAACCTTCTCCAAAGTGAAGTCCTTGTGAGAGTTGACTCTCATATCTTTAGTCTAACAGAGCTCACCATCTTTTTACTTTGAACTGCAGAGTTGGGAGATCATCCAAATGATGGATATTTTAAGACACAATCCTAAAGTGTGCTACAGAAAGATACTTTTTTATTTTCTTTGTTGTTGTTTTTTTGTCAACACGCTGGACTGCTGAGGTCAGAGGGGGAGCAGGGAGCAGGAGGTTATCAGGCATGACATTCCTGTCCATCCAGTGGTGACAAAAGCCAGCAGTGAAGAAGAGGAGGATGAGGTATTTCAGCTTTTACAATTCAATATATTTTTGTAACAATTGAAGCGGACAGATTTCATAGCATTGCTAGCAAATCCATTACTACGAAAGACACATGAGGAGTGTATAATGTATTATATAGTGTATATTAAATTTGTTCCAAAAATTCTATACACAAGCTTATTTTTAATAGAATACCGTAGAACTATCAACTATAAACGCTTTCTAGAGTGATTACTTATTACTTGTAAGATTTTGTCTTTAGAAGAAAAACACATTTTTTAATTGGGATTAATTGTGATTAATGAATTTCAAAATGCGTGATTAATTAGTAAATTTAGTTTAATGTATTGACATACATAGTCTGGTCTGCGGGTTGGACGAGTTGGTGTTAATGTGCGACAGAAGTGAGACTCAGATGCACAAGTGAGGTAAAATTATAGTAAATTACGGCTGTAGCTGGTTGTCGACATCACTACGGTTACAGAGAGGTCTTATTTGTGTTTCATTTATTTAACGTTTTATCCCTTCACTTTTTTTTCAATTGGCTTTCCATAGTCCATAGTTCTGGGAATGGGTGACTCTCAACAGGGTTAAAATCCAGACAATCCAAAGACAAGGTTTGTATCCAATTCGATAGTTATTCCACAGCTCACAATTTACATCCTTGTCAACTGGACCAATGTCCCTAGGTCATAAGATCAGGCTGGACCCATTACCCATTAAGGTCTGGCTGGACCTTGTTTGTATTTCTTTAAACCAATCCTGATCTTTAGGTGCAGCACTGAGTCCAGGGTAAAGGAAAGCGCTGCCCCAAAGTGGCAAATAGCAGAGGAATGCCCTCTGAAAGAGGTTTTAAAGGGCAGATTTACACTGAGTGCAAAAGATTAGATGTTACAAAGCAACACATTTGACTACTCAGACAACATCTTTGTCGTAGAGAGTAACGCAGCGCCTTCATTTAGCATTGATTTTGTTTTTCTGATTCAGTTTTGAATGACTGGAATAGGGATCCACACAGCATCACTGTTTTCTTGTTGATTTATTCTACCATCAAAAAGGGGAGAAAGGGAAAAGCTCCATAGTGTTTTTGATTTTCTTAATGACAAATGAATGACAGATTACCTGATAATACCCAAAGGGCCCCCCTAAAGAGCTACCCAGACTTCAGTGAGGTGCTTTGAGCCACCGCGATCAGCTGCAATACTTATGAACTGTTTAGCCTCTTGACAATATGACCAGCGTGCACCTGGATTGGCCACAGGTCTTGCTTTTTGGTACTTTTGAAGGTAACATTACCCGACGCTGCTTATACCTAAAGTCTACATCCAGTCAGTCTGACCAGCAGAGAGTTGAGGGGGGTCAGATAAATGAAATTTGGGGAATGGGAAAAAGCGAACGCAGAAAACTAACAACTGCAGTCTAAGATGAAGCAGGTTTTAAAAAAAAGCCTTTGGGCAGCACCTCTGAAAACAGCTGCTGTAATGTACTGCACAGGATGAGGTGTGACTGGGAAGGAGGATCTGAAGGAGGTTTGCATCGGAGTGTGTGATCAGGTGATGACTGAGCATACCACCCAGGCTCCAGGACAGGCTTCATTTTGGCAGAGGGTAGAGGGAGATGAAGATGAGGAGGAGTGTGTTTACATGTTTAGATATCCCAGAGGCTCTCCAAAGGTCGACAGGTCGCCGAGCCACCGGAAAACCCCACTGCATTCCTCACCGTAGGCCCTGCATGCGTGTGTGTGTGTGTGTGTGTGTGTGTGTGTGTGTGTGGGTGGGTCAACCAGAGGGCATGTGGATGTGGGTTTCTTCATCTGCTTTTCCCTCTTTAATCGAACAACACAAGTTTGTAGTTTCTATGTGTGTACAGGGGAACAATATTTGTGCGCATATATTGTGGAAAACTAAAACCAAACGCAACTTCCATTCAAATTCTGTTTCGTAGTTTTAATAACACAAACCACACTTTTCCCTAAAGCTACCTAACTAGTTTAGTTGCTGCAACAAAGCAGCTCTCATCTAGCATGCACAGCTATTCTTATGAAAATCATAATTGACTAAATACGACCACGATTCAAGCCCAAATTTGGTGGGGAGGGGTCGAGGGATGGGCTTGCAACCAGGAGACCTCTGTTCCTTTCACATGTCAGGCGAGAAGTCAATGTTGAGGTATTGGTTATGGCACGTCCATATAATTAACTTAACAAAGTACAGAACATTTGGGTTAGGTTAGGCTACTTTTATTTGTACCCTTAGTAAGACTTGTTTTTCAACAGAATGAAATCTGTCTTGAAAAAAAAAACACAAAAACAAACAAAAGTACCCATGGCTGCATATCAGTAAATCAAATAAATAAATATTCAAACATTGCATCTGTGCACTATTGCTATGGTTTGTTCACCTGCTTGATGGCTGCTGGAACGAAGCGGTTAATAAGCGGTTTTGTTCTACATGGTGGCACTATATACCTCCGAAGAAGGAAGATGCTGAAACGCAATTTGCAAAGGGTGGTTAAGCTGTGACCTACCAATCAGCTTAGACCATTTTACTTTAAAGATGTTTATTGAAGTGAAATCGTTTATTTTGAACGACAGTATGAACAAGTGCAAATTGTATTCTTTTTCTGTTTTCTGTCAATAGCCAGCAGTTATTGTTATCCATTTTCCTACACGTTCTGGAGAGGGTCACCTTTGATGAGTTGCAACTTCGGAGGGCAGAAGTTTATTTTGAAAAGGCCAAAGCTAAAAATTGACATGTGTGACAACTTTCATCGGATAAAACAGACAACATAAGATCAGTCATTTTGCAAAAGAGATAAAACTAACCATTGTGTGAGAATACATTGCATTACTTTGCATCACTGGCTCTGGCTCAGTCTTCCTAGGAGCACTTCTTTCAAATTTATGCAATCTGAGATACAAATATGAATGGATTCATATCCTACAAGAAGAGTTTATGGTGAGAGCAATAAAGACATTGTCACAAGTGCAATTATAGCTCCTTGGTAGAAGAGTCTTTAATTGAGGTAGTTTAAAAGACGAAGAAACTTGATTGGTGTCTCTAAAGCAGCAGAACTGATAAAACTCAGTCAGCCTGCTCTCAATTCAAAAAGTATAAAAAAGTCCACAGTGGAGGCCAGGCTTAAACCTGACAACGTTACATACACAACGGCGTTCCCTCCTGTCAACTTTTGTCATGAAGTACTTTGTCATGTATTAATAATCACAAGCCTTTTTCTTTCCATAATCTATCATCAATAACATAAAATGCATCCAATAAATTATTTTCACAGGGGAAAATGCAAGGCAGTAACCCCCCCTCCTCCTGCAGCTTCAGCATTGCTTTTCAGAAGTTTTCTTTCATCAGCCCCTAACCACACACACTTGTGCACACACCTGCGTGTACACACACACACACTTCTCACATTAGCCCCTGAGTCAACTACATGTTTGAAACACAATACTTTAAATCACCAATCGTAGAGACTGAAAGAATATTGATGCTGTTTTTCTTCCAAAGCATCCCTGAAGTCCCACAGTGGGCCAAAGCTGCACGCGTTGAGACACGATGTCAAATTATACATTTTCAAAGTAAAACAAAAGTAGCTTCAAGGGCATAAGACATAGTTGTGGTTTGCCCTCAGAGGCTCCCTGTTTATTTAGGCTGAACTCACACTGGTATATGGGTCAAAGATGGACCAAAGCCTGACAGGTTTTACGTCATCAATTAACAACTGTGTATCCCTGAGTTTCTCCATATTCACATCAATTGCCAGGGCTTATAGAGGGGTTTTATTATCCCATAATTATCTGATTCATTTTCTACCAAAGGAATATTAAAACTAACAAAAAGTAAAACCAGAAAAAGAGCATCAACAACATATGAGACACCTTAAGCAGTGAGAATGAGACATTATGTGAAGGGGGCAAAATGCATCCCATCATCATCATCATCATCATCATACCCTGCACACTAGATACTGTGTTAATGTGAGTATCTAAACGTCAGCACTCTCAAAAGGTTTCAGTCCAGCATTATGTGCAGCACACGTTTCACCACCACGACAGCCTCGTTATCCGTGGGAGAGGACCACTCAGAGTATACGGCTGCTGCCAAAGTGGCAAGGCTTTCTGATTATAATCAGACTATAATTCCGAGAGCTACACCTTTCATAATATGTAGCTTTAATTATAATTCCTGACCCTGCAGACTTATCCTTGGATCCCATGGCGAGGTCGCAAACCCCAAGCTGGGAACCATTGCAACTTGTTGGTTCCAGTGCCAAAGCATGAACAACGTGTGCTTTTGGTTTGGAAGAAGCTGCAGAGTTCCACTGGACACGGCCCTATTAACATCTCAGAAAAATGTTGTGAGCTTTATCTAAGTTAATGACTCTCCTCCACGTCCCTTCTATTACATTATTGCAGCTCTTTAAGTCAGAATACAGCACTAGTGACATAAAAAGTATCTAGACCTTCTCCAGGTCCTGGATAGGATTCTAAGCAATTGTGGGGCGTGTGGGAAGTCAGTAACCGATTCACAAGTAGGAGCTGACTACTTAAACACAGACCTTGTCCCATAGTGCAACACAACGGATTCTGCAGAAGCTGTCACATCGCTCGCGCGGACTACTACTCCGAGCTCGGGGACGCGCCCGGAGACGTGGACGCGGAGGAGTTATCGGTGTCCTCCGGGTCCTTGATGAAGCCTCCATCGGTCCCGGAGGAGGTCCGTTCGGTGGCGGTGGCGCCCTCCCGCTCGCGCTTCTTCTGCTTCATGCGTCGGTTCTGGAACCAGATCTTCACCTGCGTCTCGTTGAGCTCGAGCGTGGCCGCGATCTCCACACGCCGCGCCCGCGTCAGGTACTTGCTGAAGTGGAACTCCTTCTCCAGCTCCGTGAGCTGCCGAGTGCTGAAGTTTGTTCGCATGGCGTTGCTGTGCAGGCCGAAGTCCGACACTTTGGCTGTGTGGGGGAGGGGGGATATTATGAATCTGTTATAAGCCCTCATTTCATTCACGTGATTAATACATGTTTAATGTTTAGTGAAGAAAACACAAAAAATGTCTTTAATTTTTCCCGGAATACCTTTCATGGTTTAATGTAAATCATAAGAAGCCTGCTCCTCTTGCGTGTTACTTTTTATGTATTCATAATCATTTATATTTATTGAGTTTAATTACCAGACTATTTAAAACTAGACTGATTTGTCTAAATCTTGTCTAAAGAAGACGAGCGGAGGAATCGAGAGGTGGGAGGTAATTCAGGAAGGTGGAGGGGGTTAAAAGACAACAGACAGACTTCCTAGGGTGAAGTTACTGTCTGTTATGTCCATTAGAGAGAGAGAGACGAAGGGGGGAACGGGAGGGGGGACGCCAGATGAATAAGTCCTGAAAACACACAAACAGCGTTTCTGTTTGAATTGAGTAACAACCAGTAGTCCAGTTGACGTCGCAATGACATATGACATATATGACATATGTTTTACTGCGTTGAGTAAGACATTTCACAAGCAATATGTGTAATAAATAAACCACATTGGCCATCTTACGTTTACATGATTAATGCTATAGAGTTGTTTTAATTGAATTAATTAAGCAAATTAATCAGGAAAAATACGCAATTCATTCATTCATCATAATAATGAATTTGATTTATTTATTGTGGAGCAAATGTGTGTTTATTATGAAAAAAAAATCGTGTTCATCAGAATTGAAATATGCACACATGTTGTATCAACGGTGAACGATGTGTAATTAAATCATACGCGTTAAATCCTGTTGTTTTTTAATACGTGACCGATCATGATGTTGGCCAATTAATGAAGAATACATGCGTGAATAAATTAATCGATTGGCGCTTTTCTTTTTTCCTAATTTCCCTTTGGTTTAAATTGACATTAAGTGAGACGTTAGTGAAAAGAGAACAACAAACTGGAAGTTTACATTAGAAGAGCCTGCAATCTGTGTGGACAGATTATGTTGAAAACGAAGGCCTGCTAGAAATAAAAAATATGTATACACGTTGTACGACACTATTCATGTTGTTTACTGTTCACAAACAGCAAGACGTATGCGCTCGTGTTTTACAATGCAATTCAAAACATTTGATGTGTTGCTATTATTTTGCATTTCTTACTATAGGCCATGTTTTAACCCTCTTCTCGGCTATCGAAAAAAAACGTTTTTTCTTCAAAGCTTCCTTTGGATATTATGGTCCGTATGACGTGGCAGCTATGATAAATGCAGTGGAGGCAAATGCCCCTCATATTTAACACCGAATCTGTAATCTCAACATCTGACTACAGGCACAGGCCCTTTGTAATGCTTCAACTGACCGACAAGCTCCAGGAAGAAAACACGCATACCTGTTTTAGGGGGGTTCCTCTTAACCTTCATCCAGTCGAAGGTCTGCCCTTGCCCACCCTGCTGGCCCATCTCGTCTCCTTTCTCTCGGTCGTGGGAGACAGGCAGTTCCCCGTAACCTCCCCCGTGTGGAATCCCCAGGTAGCCCGCTGCGTCCAGACCCCCTCCGAGCTGCTGTGGGTACTGTGGTCCGGCAAGAGCGCCCTGAGGGCCGCAGAAGGCCCCAGCTAAGGCCCCGTAGCTGGGGCCAACGGTGGGGGGCGAGCTCGGAAATGTTGATTGATGATAGTAGGTGGAGGCGACGGGCTCCTCCATGAAATACTGGGAGTGAACGGTGTTGGGGGGGGCTACTGCGTTTGAGTAATCCGGGTTAGTTGCGCAGACCTGACCAGTGTAAGCCCCAGTGCTTCCGCTATTCCCAGAATTATAAGCGGACATTGTTCCGCTTTGTACGCTTTGGGTTGGATGGAGTTGATTGTGGTAGCCAATGTGCGTTTGCTGGTGCTGTGGTTGTTCAGGATGATGTTGATGTTGCTGATGATGCTGGGTCACCCCTGCGGTCGCAAGCTCCCCAGAGCCCCCATACAGTCGTGCGTCCTCTGTGTAAATCGCTCCCACGGCACTGCTGTCCCCTCTCACCCCTTTAACGGGAGCCGGAGAGCCGGTGGGCCCGACGTGGAAGGAGCCGGAGTTCACCGGGAAGCCTTGATGCTGATCCAGAGGATGGTGATGCAGATGGTGATGATAATGGTTGTAGCCGGATTTGGGCGCAGCATAAGCGCCCGTCCCCGACAGGTTACAAATGGAGTATTCCACAAACGAGTTCATGTTGTCCATGCAGACAGTCAGGTTTAAAATTATCAGCAAAAAAAACGAGCCCACAGATAAAACTACGGAACTAAGATTTGAGTTAGATAAAACATCCAAAAACAAAAATGTAAATCACAAGAAAAAAAACACGACAAATCCACAGTAAAAGAAAAAGTATTATATTATATGTAAAATAGTGAAGAAAAAAAGCAGAAATTTCCAACGTGAGGTAAAGAAACTGGAAACAAGCAAAAATGCGCTCCGCCGTGGTGCGCTTGTGTGTGCGCACGGAAGGCCTTCGCGCTGTCAATGGCTCAATCGTAACCCGCGTGTCTCCGTCGTGGACGGCAGCAAAGCACCGCGAGAATACGGAAAAGAGTCGAGTCACCTCTCTCACCTCCGCGCAGTTTATACTCAGTCCTAAATCCTTTCTTTTTTCGTCTATTTCTCCGCTTTTCTCCCTTCTCTGTCCCGTGTTCTTTTCTTACCTCCGCTCCGGGTCACGTGGCTCGTCGTCACGTCGCCTTTGGTGACCGGAGGACAAAACTTTGTCAGCCGGTCACAGAAAACTGGGGTGGAGGGTGGGAGACCAATGTGTATGTAAGGGATGGGAGGGGGGACTTCTCGGTTCTGGAGTGTATAGTTCTTGCGTGCGTGAGCGCGTTTGCGCCGACGCACGCGCCCCATCCATCACTCGCTGTGACACTAGCGCGACAAAGGGACTTCAATCAAACGAGCCCATCAATCTGATATAAACGCGGATCTGTCAGGGCAGAGAGGGAGAGAGAACAGAAGGGGAGCTGTGTGAGCCGGCCGGCCTGCTGCTTCCAGACCTCCTTTCTGCAGAAACATGTTTCATAATAGTAACTGTAAATTCATGCTACTGCAGGTCACCAAACATTTCCACTTCTCCAGCGGCCCTACAATTAGGGCTGCAGGGATTAAACCCTCGTGATGCTTTTAACAGCTCTAAAACACATGACATTCATTGGAATTACACAGGTATTGAGGATGACTCCCTGTGAATTACCATGGATATTTACTGCACAAATGCTTGAGGATGTAATGTTAGTATTGTTTCATTAATGGTACTGATGATTTGTACATGTCACCTTCACGTTCTCTTCCCAATGAGAGGTTCTTTCCTCACTTGGAGCTGAGCTGAGGCTGACTCGATTCTTCATGGCAGGATTTCCCCTGACCTCTCTATGAAAACACACCATGCTTGTGAAAGGAGAGCCGAAGCAGCCTGTTGGCTGCCGATTGATTGACCCTGTGTCATCCACTCGCAGACTGTAAGTTTGTCTCTCCTTCTTCCCTCACCTCGCAGCCCGGTTCACCAACACCAATAGTCACCCAGAGATTATTGATCAGACTGTATCTCTTCTTCACACATTTGACTCGCATGATGGGACCCAATCTTCCAATGGATCAAAGGTTTCCCATCGACCAGTGAAGTCCTGATCACAGGGACTATTGGGAATCGGTTTACTCTTTTTCGCCAATTGCATTGAGGAGGCCATGGAATCCTGATGGCAGAATGTGGATGAGAGAGTGCACTTGTCTGTGTTTGCAAATTAAATGAATGAGCTGATCTGTTATAGAAACAACGTTAAAGAAGACAGGAGGCCTTCTGGTCGGACAAACCCTGCTGGTCCAGCAGGACAGGAAGCCGCGGTAGCCATGACAACCGCACAATGTTCTTTCTGTAAGTGCATGGAACAATGACATCACTAATCTGTGCACATGACTGGGCTTTCTTTCCCAAAATGTTTGTGTTTAACATGACTCCTTGGATTTTTTCTTCTGTTGCTCTTTCGATTGTTCCAGTGTGATTACCTTGAAAACAAGATCTTATTCAAAACATTTTTAAGAGTAAAATCTTTACAGAACTCAGGAATTTGGGTTTAAAGTGTCAGCCAGCAACAGTTGCTTTTTTGGCTTTGCATGCATTCTTTGCACATTGGTGTAATCTTACATTATTTGGATTCTTCGAACTTTGCACTTTGAAGAAACCAAAGCAATTTTCTTTGGGATAACTTAATTTCACTCTTATCCCTCTTATGTCTGTGTCAAATATTTGCTAGTCTCCGTTTTCAAAGTTTGCACACCTTGTCCAATGAACTCCTCATCCATTTCTCCCCTCCAGAGCCCCTGCGATGGAGCTTGACAGCAAACACGCCGCCACCCTGCTGCAGTACGAGTTCAGGACGAGCGGCGTGGGCGTGCGACAAGGAGGAAGGTTAATGATCGGCGAGAGGCTGAAAGGAGAGAGTGGGCAGGAAGTGAGCAGGAACAGGCCGGGACATGGAGAAGAAGATTAAATGACGCCCACGCGGCTGTTTGGGAGCTAAAAGGGCTACAGGAGAGAGAGGTCAAAAGGTCAGGTGTTTTTTAATTCATTCAAGGATTCATTCATTTCTGTTAATTCATACTTCTGATGTATGTCAGTCAGAAAAAAATATATTATTGTTAATTAGTAATAAATTATGTGTGAGGATAAAGTCCTCTGAGTCTTCTGTGCTCAGACTAAAGTGAGATTTCTAATCGATAGATTTCACCCTTTAGCAGCAAGATAAACCCCTGTGGAGTCCGGACCAGGCTGCTAGAATGATGAGTTGATGAAGCTGTTGAAGATTGGGCGGAGGTGGAGCGATGAATAACAGCAGCATGAACGTACTGAAGCAGGAGAGAGAATCCTATTTAAAGAGACGGCAGCTACATGATATACAAATAAGGTCAATGTGTCGTTGTGCTTACTGGATAGAAAATACCAGCTGATGTTAACAGCTGATGTCCTGAATGACAGCTCTGTAATCACTCCAAGGAAATAATGAGTGTATAAAAACAGGCTTAGGCAGGGAGGACTATGGTCTTTCTGTCTGAACTTGCAATAGAGCTTCATTTGTAGTTAGTATGCGTGTGTTGCAAGTGTGTGGTTGAGAGAGAAAGTGCTAAATATTAGTGTTATTTAAATCAATACCATTATATGTATCCTATATGGCACAAAGTAATTATTTTTTTCTCACAGTATTATAACTATTTTTCCGCAACGGGACTTGCCTTTTCTTTTGTTTATGCTCCGGGTGTGCTACTGTTGATCACTACAAAGAGATGACAGATGTTAGCGACTGGCTTGGTGTGTCAGTTTTCTGCTTTCAACTTTACTTCAATCAGGAGACACAGTAAGGTCAAGCAGAAATTAGTGGTAGAATTATAGTTTGTGTGTCATTAGATATTAAATATTATATCATTATAGTATAACAATTATGTATCATGTATTATGAACTAAACATATTGTAAATCCTGATTAATGTACATGAATTATTAGTTTTGATACGTGAATTATTTGTTTCTTCTGCGAAGTAACATCTTGAAACTAAGTTACGATTATTGAAAATAACTGATGTGTGACAGGGTCTGTCGCCTAGCAGCACTTGTCTCATCCTCTCTAAGTTACATACTTATTAATGCATCTCTATTCACCTATTTGTTTGGGTGCTGTAATTGCTAAGCATGAACAAAAAAAGAAAGAGCTGACAGTTCTAAAATCTGCATACAGGTACAATTGAAATGTGAGCCACTAGAACTTTCCAGTATTGGAATGTGAGCCACTAGAACTTTCCAGTATATCATACACACCAGCGGGGCCCACACTTTTCCGGCTCGCAACCTACTTTTCAACTAACCAGGTCATGGCGATCCCCCCCCATCCTCCATGCCAGCTGACAGGGGTGAGGGGGTGGGGCGACCGGTAAATAGTAGCGGTGACGCGCTCCAACAGCGCATAACGAGTCAATATGAAGAAAACGACAAGCCTCTCATCTGTCAGAAGGAGGAAACAGTCACAAGCATCCCGCACATTCTTGGTCATTACCTTACACGCGATCAACTGGTACTGCCCTTGAGATCGACTGGTCGATCGCGATCGACGCATTGAGCACCCCTGATACACACCATGCATAAAATTATATTTAAATGCATTTGAGGTGTCGCATGTATAACATTTTCTCTTCCATCAGCGGAGGTGCTCCGTGACCTCATGAAGTTCAGGGTTGGAGCTGCTGGAGAAAAACCTCATGGTTGAGGTCGTAACCTCAACTTACCCGATTCACCTGCTTCTTCAAATTAAAGCTCCCAGCCACTTCCAGACCAGAAGACGTTCCACCAGGACATGATAATGGAATTCCTATTGACATATGCCCTGGTATAGTTTCTTAAGTTCTTTGATGATTATTTCCTTTAAGTGTTCAACACCAATACAGTTTTTTTTAAAGGAAATAAACATTTTAACATAGTAAGCCTTAAGTAAACAAATACGGACAATAGATTCACTATTGTCAATACATTCACAATGTCATGTCATGAGCACTTAATAAAACTAAATCCTGACAGCATGCAAACAATGTCAAGAGGTTGCCTCTCCAAGATGTATTCCAGTCGATCATGCAATCTGTGAAGGATGTCAGCCTCAGTGATTCCTAGAGGATAGATGCATAAATATATAATCATGACAAAAATGTGTGTTTAAAGTGTCAGCCAGCAGCGGTTTTGTGCTATGAAATCGGAAATGTGAAACTGCAGAAAGGATATAGTTAGAAGAGCAATCGCAGCCTTGCGGGCTGCAGGAGGCTTGCGTAGCTTTTGACGCTAGTCTAGAAAAATGGGTCGACGCACGCAAGGAGGTGTGAAAAGGCACGCAAGGGACGCGCAAGGGGCTCCTGCGTCTACGTGTCTCTGAAAACGCAGAAGCATAAACTAGGCTTAAGACGAGTCTAACAAAACCACACACAAATGTGAAGCGATCTGCAAATATAAATCATAATTCATTTATGTGTGCATTGAAATGTATTTGTAAGCATTTGTAAATTAAATACATGTGTGAATTGTTCAGTGTGCATTTGTGAGTCATTCTGTGCGCATTTGCAATTATTGAGACTGATCTGACCCCATAGAACTCAGGTGATGGCCTCATTTCAAAGGAACACATCTTCTAGTAAAGACTTTCTGCTGTTCTTAACTTTTTTTTGTACTCTGCTTCTTGACAGGCCAATCTACCTTCTGTGGGGGTTGTGACCTCCCGGATGGTTCAGCCTGGTTTTTGTCTTGTGAGCAGGAGTGGAATGTAAGATTTAGACCTACGCCTCAAACTGTCCGTTAGTGTTTCAGGTTTTTGGTCTGCATGTTTGGGATGTCTGTCCAGTATGCCCCACAGCCCTAGGTCAGGGTGAATTAAGAAGTACAACAGAAGTGCAAGGAATGGGACCATAAAGTTGGATATGGCTTCAGAGAAGCGCAGTAATCTGTTTGGACAAATAAGATTCCTGCCCTTCTGCTCACATGTCTCTTTGTCTCCTCTAAAAGTCCCATCAGAAATGTCAAATAACTCTGAAACCAGGAAGTTATGTTCCGGTATTCCTGGAAACGAGTGGTGATGTGTGGGTGTGGGTGTGATACGAGTGGCTTTCTGAAAATCATGAAAGATGATACAGCAGGGAGAGTGAAAGGGAGGCATTACTGGGTTGAAGAAATTGTGCTTCCAGGCTGTTGACGTTGTTGCATTAGCTGGGAAACCTGAACCACTGATGCAGACATATAACAGCATTTATAATCCTTTATTAATAACATTTCAGGAATCAGGAAACATTTACAGTTGCAATCAAAATTATTCAACCCCCCATTACACATTAGGTTTATTGGCAAAATATACAATTTCTCAGCTGTTTGCAATAAACAAATTACACAATAATTGTTTCAGTAGTTTAATGAAACTAATAGTACAAAGGTTTTATCCAAATTCAACAGAAAATGCTACTTTTAACGACTTTAATGAATTTACTGCAGTCTCAAAATTATTCAACCCCTTCATGACAAGCATCTTCTGTACTTCGTGGAGCACCCTTTGAAATGATTCAACTCCGTGTATCAAGCACACCTGGTGCAACTAATCAAGGATACCGTACTCTCTACACAACTGTGTTGTGAGTGTATGTGAAAGTGACAGGTGACAGGTGCATGTCGAGTGTGAAGGGAGTGATCGGTGGAGAAAGAGATGACAAAGTCAGTCAGTGGGTGATCTGGGCTCTGTTGATGATCCCAACTGCCGACGGGAAGAAACTGTTTGTGTGGCGGGAGCCTTGGTCCCGATGGACCTCAGCCTCCTGCCAGATGGACGGTTTTTGTCCAGGGTGAGAGGGGTTGGCAGCAATCTTTTTAGCTCGTCTCAGGGTCCTTGAAGTCCTGCAGAGCGGATGACACGCTGCAGCCTGCCCTTGTCCTTGGTTGTGGCTGCAGCGTACCAGACGGTGATGGAGGAGCAGAGGATGGACTCGCTGATGGCCGTGTAGAAGTGCACCTGCCTCCGGAAGAACAGCCTGTGCTGAGCCTTCTTGGTAATGAGGTCCTGGGTGATGAATACCAAAATTGATGAACTGAAAACACAGTTCTATGAGACAAAAATACAAAGATCTCTAAGACTGGACAATAAAGAGGTGGTACCTATCCTATCTCCTTAACTAGACAACTGAGACATAATTAAAAATAATAATCATGCTGCATTGAAGACGACTTAAAGCTAGGGATTGAAACATCGCTAGGTAACAGCTTAGGTGAATGTTAACTTCCTGTCAGCTTATTTCATGCACCGGAAGGAAACAAAGTTTCGTTAACTGCGTTCAAAAATTTTATTGCATTAATCTCATGCACATTAATTCCATAGATTAACGCGTAGATTTTGAAAGTCGTAGTCCATATATCCATTTTCAATGCTGCTTATCCTAATGAATTATTGGGTCACATGTTCCAGGTTGCAGGACCTTCTTGCTGTAGGCAACATATGCTAACCACCACACAGCCATGCCGACCAGATACAGTATGTTTCCATAGAGTTTAAATAAAGTGAGCTTTCTTAAATGCAGCATCTACAGTAGAGGCCATTAGAACTACAGCGCAAGACCCAACATCACTGCAGGGAAAAACAATCAGTACTAATAAAGATAAAACAGGTCCAAATGAGAGCAAAAGTTGGAGGTCACAGCTATGTAATCTAAGTGTGTACACAGAATGATAATATGGGCAAAAATGGGAGCCTGAGGGAATTTCCCTGCTGACTCGCCGCTATCAGCCCTCAGATAAGACGCTGTCAACTCGAGCCGCTCTTATCTACACAGCACATTTACACCCAGGCTATGGTCGAGGAGTTGGGCCACGAAGGATAACAACTGGCTCAGGCCAATGGCCCCTCCTGTACGTGCATGGACCTGAATTATATCATGCTGTAGAATGTTGTGAAGTCTAGAGTTATGTAGCGCTTTGATTGGTTGTGACATTACAAGAGTGCCATACCAGTATACAAATTCTGTTTACCATTTCTATGAGGCAGAAGATAGCGACTGTAAAAGCACATTAACCAAGAATTAAAAAGGTGGTATTTTTCACACAATTAACTAATGAAACCATGAATGACCAATGAGAAGACCTAATGCAGCAGTGAACGTATCTAACAAGTATATTGTGTGTATCAAATACTGATATCTCTTCTTCTTTGTGCTCTATCGTCCATATCCCAAAACTATTCAAAACACACCAATGAGCCCCACTAGTGCACTGGGTGACATGTTCTACCATTAGCATTAACAAACATGCTGCAGTTCATTCACTCCCACATACATTGCCCTGCTGCCAAAAATACTCTTTTGACCTCCAAATGTGGATTAGTATACTACTGAAAATAGTCCCCAAGAAATGCACCATTCAATCCACAGTGACTTTGTGTTAATACCTTGTTCAGAATGAACTGAAAATATTTATTAATAGATCCTGATCTCATTCAGTATTAAAACAGTAGTCGTGGGAATAATTAATTTGTTGAGGAGTGATACATTTAACTGTTAGAAATGACTGGAGACAAAGGCTGTCAGCTCCTTTAATCGATGAAATGCATTCCTGAAGAGGGGTTACATAGATCTATATCTACCGAGTCCATTTGTGGTAGCTTCATTCTGTCAGGTTGAGGTGGCGGAAGTAGGACTCAAAGGCAGTTTGAAAGTTCATTTCAATCAGAAACACAAGTAACACTCTCTCACCACAACTCTCCAACATCAACAATTAACCTACAAGAGACTAGGGACACTCATGGTTTAAAAAATGTGCAGTTGATTGGACACAAGGGGAAACAATCAGGGACACGGCAGACAATCACAATCACACAGGATAACACACAAGGGCCAGAAAAGTTAACTCAGGGACATGAGAGGCAGGCAACTACAAAATAAAACAGGAAACAAACCCACACCGGGACATTTGATGTGGATACCTTAAATAACATGGCTGCTGGTTCAGGATCTGGTTGGACTGCCTCTCTGCAGGCTGATAATTGATGCAGTTGGATTGACCATTGACACCTGTTTGTGCTAGTCCCTTGGTAAATATCAATAAATCCTGTGGAATGGCTCTTTATTGACCTATTACAGAGAGACTGCAAGTGAGGTGCACCAACACACACGTACATAGACAGTGATTTGTGCTTGGTGCGTTTCCTCTGAGGCTCATACCTGACATCTCAATACACAAAACGTAGGGGACGTAACAGTGTGTGTGTATGTGTGTGTGTGTGCGTGTGTGTGTGTGCAGCCTCCTTTCTCTCTCACACACTTAAGCTGTGAATTGATGTAGGCCCTCAGAGGCGGAAGCATTGATCATCTGACTGAACTACTTCACCAAACAGATGCTAACTTAGCTTAGTGGATGCTATAAAACACACCCTTCTCACACAGAATAACCAGAGAGGTGGGGCAATGATCAAATCCTCAGGCGTGTGACAGACATTCATACACAGCATGTACAAGTGTGGTTCTTATTTCAGCCCTGACCCTGCCCTGACCTTAAATATGCTCTATGGAACCTGATCCCTCTCACATCTTTAAGGAGAGGGTCTGTCAAGCTAAACTTGAGTAATTGTTCACGTCCCGAAAAAACAGACACAAGTTATGACGTTTTGCATATATGTACCGTATTATTAGTGTTGCTAGTAATAACCTTTTTCACCACAAAATAAATAAAAAAATAGCGACTTAGGTGACTCTCGTTATTAACAACTTATAATGACAATTTTTGGAAAACAAACCGCACAGACATCATTCTGCAGTGAAGCTCAACATCACATTCGATGATTATCACAGCAGAATTAAATCAGCTTTGGGGGATCAATTACAGTACATGTCTCATTGCAGTACTTGAAATATAGTCACAAAATGACTACAGCAAATCTACAGCGACATGTAGTGTCCGAATTTTTTCACTTTATACATTCAAGTTATTAATACATTTTTGGTAGATTTTTTTGGATTTGAATAATTACGTAGAGTTAGTTACGGTCAACAAAACCACAACCTGGTGCTGAAACAATGGCCTCCTCTTCACCACCTACGTTTGTGTTCAAACTGTTTGAGAATCAGGTTTTTCCATCATGAAAAAGGACTCTAACTGACTTTTGATTGCCATTGTCTTTGTGCCGACAACAGAAAAAAGACTGACAACCTCCTCCATGTAGACCAAACCAATTGGTTGTATTTTACAATTGTTTCCCAACCTGTGAGGAAGTTATGAAAAAGAATGAGTATAGGTATAAGTATTGGTAATTAATTCACAATGATGTACGTTAAAACAAATATTTAATCATAACACTTGTAATCAGAAATATTAGAAGGTTGTTACAAAACCTTTTTGTAGAAGTAGATTTTTCCTAATTGGCAATGCAAAAACAAAGTTCTGGCATGGCGCCTAACTAGTATGAGGCAACAGTCCAAGGCTGAGACAGGACACACCGTTACCTCTCCAAATCTGTCATCCCACCACTTTTGACAATCTGCATCATGCATCAGCAAAAAAACGTCTGCGTGTAAACTCAGTGCGGCAGAGTAGCCAAACTGTCTGCGTGTTGGGGGGCGGTGGAGGGTAAAGTTTCCTCTTTACGCCCCGGGATGATAAAAAAATCCCCAGCTTCCACATTTCAGCGGAGATGCTAAGTAGGTGATCTATCACACCTAAGTTATGCAATATCATACACACAAACACAGAGAGAGGAGGCAGAAATCATAACAGTGATGGTGACGGTGATGCAAGAGATAAAGGAGCAGTCCGCATATTACAGCATGGCAGAAGGCCGACAGGCGATGACAGCCAGGAGAGAGAGATTACTGGAACACACACACACACACACAGGCACTCGAAGGGTGAGATATGTCCCCCAGCATAGAGATTTACTCTGCTGTAATCTCTTTGTCTACAACATACACTCACAGGGATGGTTACGGGAGAGAGAGGCTGTGTGATAGTGTAAGACGTGTAAATTCAGTGGCATGTTTTACACAGCCTCCTATGGAAATCATGGAGTTGAATGTTTTTTTGCATTATTTTTAGTAGTTTTGCTTTATTCTTCCTTAATACACAATATACTATGTAACTTTTGCACATTAAAAGTGTGGCCTCTGCGTAATAGCTGTGATTCTGACCAGAAGATGTGAGATATCAAAAGACGTGTTCCATGCCGAAGGAGAAGCTGATGATGATGATGTTTTATCCTATCGGAGATGTGGTCAAAGCTTTATTGGCGTAGGGGCCACTAACCCTTAGCCATTCCAACAAAAAAAAGGTTTGTGGAAGGAGAAGAACTTTTGTGATGATGACTCTGTGTCTTTGGAGGACGCCCAATTAATTTTTGCGGCAATTGACAAGGCATCATTATTAGCATCGCTGAAGGAAAGGAACTTATAGGCCGGTATTATTTCATAAGATTGCTGGAAACAATCAGAGTGAAACATTAAACACCTACAGCAGATGTGATGTGGACAATCCAAGTTCAGAATAATTGAAAAGTGCTCTGCAATTGTTTACATCTCAATCAATGTTAATGTGGTGATTTTTACTGATCCATTTAATAACATCCGTTATTTTGTTTTGTAAAAACAATTTCACCAAATACTTAAATGCCACTAAAAATATTCCCTCATAATGGTTTTTCAGGGCGGCACGGTGGCGTAATACACATATTAGAAAATATTAGCACTGTTGCCTCACAGCAAGAAGGTCCTGGGTTCGATTCCGCCCAGTGGCCTTTCTGTGTGGAGTCTGCATGTTCTCCCCGTGTCTGCGTGGGTTCTCTCCGGGTTCTCCGGCTTCCTCCCACAGTCCAAAGACATGCTCTGGGGATCAGGTTAATTGGTGACTCTAAATTGCCCGTAGATGTGTGAATGTGAATGGTTGTGTGTCTCTGTGTTGGCCCTGCGATTGGCTGGCGACCAATCCAGGGTGTACCCTGTCTATTGCCCGAAGTTGGCTGGGATGGACTCCAGACGCCCGCGAACCTGTGTGCAGGATAAGCGGTTTGACGATGGATGGATAATGGTTTTTCTAATATGTGTATTATTTAGTAGTGGAGGTAAGCCATGCCAACCATTTGCAACATAGTCACAGGACTACAACAATCTGGTCGGGCCCATGCGTCTACGAATGAAATCACGAATGAACAGTTTCAATTCAATATTTTATCCGTAATCACCCGCCACCCAACTGTGTTTTTTCTGCGCTGCAGTTTATAAACACCTTTGGCATTCATGATTAATTAATAATTAAGATGAATTTCAGTCTCTCTATTGTCAGGTACAAGTCACAGAACAGCTCTGTAAGTGGATGGCAATTACGACACAGACAATATAAACTAGCATGTTAACACAAGACAGCATAAATGTTACTGATTCCGCAATTCCCTCTCAAGGTGTCTTATTTATACTCATTTTGTGCCATACAGCTATGCCTGCATCTCAGCTTAGCATGAAAACTGTTTTTGCTGATCCACAATCTGTATCTCCTTTTAAGTGTCCAGCTGATGCTGAAGTGACAAGATCAGGACTCATCACTAAAAACCCTGAATAAGGTCAGTATTTAATGGGTCTTTTCTCTGCCACTGTTTGGGTCCAAGTTAATGAGAGTAGGCCTTACCTCAGTGGAGATTACTATGGTTCTGTTTACACGCCTACACGTTGCCACTGACTCACCTATATGTGGACAAAGTATTGATTTTAATTATCACAGACACAATCCCTAATAATTTTTGTGTTCTGCGACTTCCACCAACACAGGATTCAAAAATAACCGTAAAGCATGACACTGAAGTACAGATCCTATTATTTTGCACAAAACCAAAGTATCTAAGATTCAATCATTCAAGAACATTCAAAATCATTCACATGCATTTGTCACATCCTGTCTCATTTTATATATTGTAGCTGCCCGAACTAGCCACAACTGTCATCTTGTTCAAAACTGACTCAGATTCAGAGAAAAAATTTGGGTATTGGTTAACATTCCACAAAACTTTTCAAATCAAACTTGGGACTTTTTATAGTCACGTCTTTTCTACAGGACCCGAATGCAGAGTATGACAACTTAAAGTCAGCAAAATCTTTGGGGAAGCTCTTCTTATGGCACACTGGCTTATATATACTTTTCTTTAAATACGTAATTTCAAAGGTACCAGTACCAAGGGTTGGACACATTTCCCCATTAATTTCAATGATAAAGCGTGTCCAAACTTTTGACTTTGTACTTTATATGTGTCTTTTTGCCAGGCTCCCCTGGAAACTACATCAAGTCACTTGAAGACGTGTGCTCACTTGATTGGAGCTCAGGTGAGTTTTGTGGGTTTGTGCTTAACATTTAAAGCAGAGAGTTAGGCGGCACTGATACAATAGAAGTGTAAGTCTGCCAACATTGAATGCATTGCTACAGTTCAAGGATCTAATAGAAATACCTGTGTATTGTTTGAATGATGCTCAGATGCTCAGATGAAGTGAGGAATCCTCTCGGTTTAAAAAAGGAAAACCAGAACAATGCGAGTCAGGCTTCTTCAATCTGGGGTTCTTACAAAGTTTGCAGCTCATGAATTCTACATTACGCTTGAACACATTTTTTTCTATTTCATGCCGTCAGGAATGCAGCACTGTAAGCAGAAAAAAAGAAGGTATTCTTTCCCAATTACAATATTTCTGGACATGCAGAGTGGTTTATTAAATTACAGATTACTGTCGTATTTGTTAATAATCAAGAAAGTATAACATTAATTATGTCATACTGACAATGAAACAGCGCGCACCAACCAATGTTGTTAACTACATCCAATTTTATTAACTAGATGTATTGCCGATAATAACTGAGTCAATGATCCTGATTCAGTGTATAAGCAAATTACAAATACAGGTTTCTGAGGTATTAGATATTATCATCAGTTGATTTTGTTATATGTCAAAAAGATTATTGTTATAATTCATTTAGTAATTTGCATTACTGCTATATTATTATTACTTGTTGTGTTTTATTATTGTTATTATTCTACTACATGTATTGGGATTACTGTTATTCAATAATCAGCCATAAACCTGAATAGGCATATTCCTTTTGTTTGACTCTCCCTGTTACAAACACACAAGGACACACACACACACACACACACACACACACACACACACACACACACACACACACACACACACACACACACACACACACCGTGCCTGTCACACTGAGCCAGTCATCCTGTAATGGCTGCCACTGCTCATTGTTCACATCCTGCTTTGTCTTCATCGCCATTTTGACTCTGTGGGAGGAGGAGCGGCTAGTTAGAATCACACACACACACTAATGGCAGCATGCTAACTCAGGGATTGCTCCATTTTCACCCTGCCAGCTTGATGGTGGGAGAGAATCTATAAAGCAGAGCTACAGTTAGCTGCCTTGCTCCTAAACTAGAATGTGAACGTGCTGTTTTCCGGTGAGCTCTGGCTAGTTTCTACTGAACAGCTGCATGTCTGCTATTCTCACATGGTGCTACTCTGCTGCTATTGTGCTCTGCTAACCATTAGCTCCCTCACAGCAAAGCTTGTGCAATGATAAAACAATTACCCAGCCTTTCCCTCAGATCGTTCCTGCTGTTTTCATGTCTTGCAGTACGTCATTCCACAGGGTTATCTAGGGTTAACACCAGCTGACCCACACTGGGCCAAACCAGGCTAAATTTCAGGCTATATATTTATGTAGCCAATTATAGCGAGCAACAAAACTACAAGGCAACACGTACACAAAATGTGCATTTAGTTTACACCATGAGTTAGCGAAATGTATATTTGTAGGTTAAAATATTATAAAATTACACTGAAACTTATTTTATAGAAGAATATTTTCCTAAGGCGTGTAGTTTTCTGCCATTTTAACATGGCATGAAAATTATTTATACTCTATAAAAAGTCAGGTAAAAATACACATACAACGTATTAGCAGCAAAATGATAAATAAGAAAACAATAAATGATCTACTAATATGCTGCTGGATTCTAACTGTATATGATGTTACAATAGCATGAATTCCATAACTGCATGAACATAAATTTGCATCTATCGTTATAATAAAGGCTATTCGGCACCTCTTGTATTCATCACACAAAACGACATAGGCCACATATTAAATGTTTGTGTTTTTATTATTATTCCACTATGAAAATATATGTACAATAAATAATTTGGATTTTCACTATTAAAGAATCTCAATAAATAAACTAGTGTCTAAAACTCGCGTCATCAGTACTTGGTCTCTCTGGTCTTGTCTCGTTCAGAGAGAGACAAATAATTCATCATTCAGTTGGAATTTTTATTTTTCTAAAAAGCAGTCCAGCTTTCTGCACCAACAGACTCCGTAAACAGTTCCTGAGAGGTTATTAATTCTGCATCACAATGTACGAGATGGAACAAATTCCCAAATAAGCCTACTGATAAGGATTAATCATTTCTGATTAAAAAAAGAAGGGAAAAAACAACGATGGCAATAAATTACCTGAAAACGGGGAGAGACAAAAATGATCGTTTCGACCGCGGAAAAACAAAAAATACAATCCCTTGGACGTTTATTCAAAAATAAATAAACGAAGTGCATCTCTTTCAAATGAGGTAAGTTCTAACCGTAGAATAAAAGCCAGCAGAAGACGAAAAAAATACAGGAAGATCATTTTCATTCAGAAATGTTACAGGAATGTTTTCGCGAAGCTTGCGGGGCGGTCTTCCTCCGCCCAATGTCCGTGTGCTCCTTGTGTTTTTGTAAATTTATATTTCTCAGAAGTTGAGGTGCTGCAGGTCTATGGTGCACAGTGTGCTCGTGAACAGGTCGAAGTCCTCCTCTGAGAAATCCACCGGGCTGTCCAGGGAGCTCTGTAGGCTGGGCGACAGGCACGTTTCCCCAGCAAAGAAGGTCAGGTCGGGGAGCGCGGTTGAGGAGGAAGTGGCCGCAGGAGCTGAGGACACGGTGGAGGAGACGGAGGGGTCCCGGTGCTCGGAGAAGGATGGGTCGCACGCTGCTTCTGCTGCCGCCAGCGCGGCCTCGCCAAGCTGCATCAGGCCCGGGATGTCGGAGGAGCTCGTGGCTGTGAACGCCGGCGGAGAGTGGCGAGCCGCGGCCACGTCTGAGGAGCCAAATGCCTCAAGCAACTGTGGGCGTTCGGGGCTGCTCAGTCGGCCTCCGTTCTCCGACGTGGGTTGTGCATTGTCCCCACTGTCATTCGCGTAGGCGGCCGAAGATGGATTACAGCTCCCCGCCTCGCCGTCAGACTCGGCCTCCCCTGTGCCAGATGCTTCCAGCGGCTGGCTCGAGTAAGGGGACGAGGCGTCGGCGCCTTCAAGCGGCTCGAACTCGCTGGAATCGTGGCCTCCACCGTCCCGCTGGTGTGTCGTCTGGCGCTTGTGTTTCATCCGCCGGTTCTGGAACCACACTTTGACTTGCCGCTCGGTCAGATCCAAGAGGGCGGCAATCTCCACCCTCCTTGGCCGGCACAGGTACTTATTGAAGTGGAACTCCTTCTCCAGCTCCAGCAACTGCGTGTTAGTGTAGGCTGTGCGCAAACGGCGGGACCCGGCACCTCCACTATCCAAACTCGCCTGGCTTGGGTCTGCAGGGAGACAGAGAGAAATTTTAATTGTTTTAATTGTATATTTTTTAACTTGTAAAATTGTAATTCCAGCCTATTCCTTGGGAATCCTGTAAAAACTATATTGTATTAACTGCAAGGTTTCCAGCCAGGAAATAAACTGCTTCAGCACCAGAAGTCCCCCCGGCTAGTCTGACTGTAATAAAAAATAATAAAACACGAAAGAGTCTCAGAAAAAAACTCCTCCCTATTACAGTAGCAGCCGAATTCATAACTGTATGAGTGGACTAATTTGTTGGTTGGTAAAATCCTAATAATAATACAAATAATAATAAAGCAAGAAAATGGTTAAAATGTCAAACACAGGTCTCTCTCTTCTTTAATCCAGCTGTAGGGAAATAAATAAATCACCGGGCCAGGAGAGAATTCTGCAACGTCCACGTGAAATAAATCACAAATGTGTTTTTTTTAGAATGAGATTAAAATAAAATCTCGAAATAGAGACATTGGGTAAGACATTAGCACAGGTGGGGGAAAAATCAAACAAATGTCAACAAATGCGCTGATTGCTATGACAGAAATTAGCTAAATCCACCAAGATCAGATTGAGTGCTGCATGCATCCTGTGTAATATGTAGTTTATCCCCCCCTACACACACACCCCAAAACACACACACCTATCCCACCCGCAGCCCCCACCCCCAACATATTTCCCTCTGCTTCGCCATTATAATTACTCCTCCATCCAATATGGCTACCATCTCTGTTGTGTTATGAATATATATTGTCACGGCGACGCTGCTGAAATCACAGCACCCAGGGATGAGGAGGAATTAGGCTGCAGCGGGGCGGGGGGAGGGGGGAGGGTAGAGAGGGGGCGCACGATTATTAACTCTATTAAGTGTGGACAAAATGTATTGTGGAATATGTGGTAAATGATGTGGAATTGATTGGTGTGAGAGGCACTGAATTTGGCAGAAATAATCAGATAGAGACTGACGTTATGGGTGCACATTTACATGCGTGATGATAGAGCGCAAAGCACTGCAGCATAATGCAGTGGTCTAAATATGGCCACCGTGTTGACACAGTATTACAGCACCGCGCAACTCACACATAGACAGGCACACACACACACACACGACATTGTCATCTTAAATCCATGCAGTGTGTAATGAATGAAGTTTCTGATGTGAAACGACGATGCAGACCGAAAATGAAAGCACAATGCTGCCACACCTCACACTCCCACCACACGCGCGCACACATTCCCTTCATCTTCCCAGCCTACCGACCTGTGGGTGACTCGATGCCCGCCAAGGCGTACCCAGAAGCGGTCGGCGACGGGGAGGACGAGGCAGAGGGGATGATGGATCCGCCACCACTGGAGCCGCTCCCAGATTTCGGGCACTTCTTTGAGGACTTCTTCTCTTTCATCCAGGGGAACTCGTGGGCCAGTGGGCCGGCCGGTGCGGTCGAGGCCGGCGCAGGGGTCTGACCGGTGGGGCAGTGCTGCTGGGCGCCCCGGTGAATCGTCTGGAGGCCATTGGCAATGGATGTTCTCCGGTTCTGCTGGCTCCTAGCAGACGGTCTCGGCTGGTTGGCTGTGCAGGGGCTGAGGCTGGGGATGGTGTGCTCGAAGGGAGGCGGAATTACTGTCGACTCCTTGATTGATGAAGTTTGAAATGACTCCAGGACGGCGGGGAAGGACGTCAGGCACTCTGCTAGGGACGGCTGGCTGTTGATAAAACCGATCTCTCTCTCAAATTCAAAATTCATAGCTCCCTCGAACCAGTTTCGACCTCAGAACGGCGAGACCCCCCGAAACAATCCGTCCCCCAAAATAAAAAAACAACAAAAAACACAAACACACATAGGCGCGCACGCTCGTACACGCACACAAAACAATATGGCTTCCTGGTTGAAAATAAAATGAAGAAGCGCACGAGCATATAGGCTCCCGACCGCAATGGTGCAAAACAGCGGCTATATAATAATTGTGTAAATTGGTGATATTACTAGCGTATGGGGACCATGGGTAGGCTAAACTGAAGAACTATGGGGCGAAATTGCAGCCAATTCCTGGTCACGTGACGCAAAACTGCCAATCGGGGTTTGGAGGGGGGGGGGGCGGGCCGTGGCGGCGATGGCAGTGGGAAACAGCATTATCATTTTTCCACCAAATGCTTTGGCAACGCAGGGCTGGATCCCAGGACGGCTGCTATTGTCTCACCCTAACGGGGGGTAACGCGCGGGGAGGAGGAGAGACGGCGAAGCGGCCGGTCGCCATGTGGACCGTGTGGGCGGCCGGTTCGGCACATTCTGCGGATCCGGTGTTAATCACGCACAAACAATAGAGCATCTCTCGACATTCTTTTTTTGGTCCTCTGGGTGATGACGGTTAGGGTGGTTGTAGCTGGCTGTACCGTTTACAATATGCTCTGTCTGAGAAAAAAAAAATCACTGTAGAGGACTCAGCTCATTAATCTTATGAACGTTGACAGAGGCTGAAAATCCCAATCTTAGACCTAGAGAGAAATAAAAACAAATGTCTAGAAGGCGCAGCAGTTCAGGAGAGGATGATGAAGCTTTCTCAGAGAAGCGGAGGCAGACCGGCTTGCAGCAGAGCAGAGATAAACACATTTAGAGAAATGGGGAAGAGAAACCAGGTGTTGTGTAAGTGTTCTTTCTTTTTGTTCGAATCACTGTTTCTTATTCTATTTGAACAGAGACGGATCCCAAAAATATTATCTAACTAAAATAGCCCCCTATCCTCTCTCTATTTTTCTCTTCCCGGCTCTCTCTCTCTCTCTCTCTCTCTAGTGTGATGTCTGTTAAAAATGTCCGTTGTGTTTACGCAGAGAGAGGGAACGACACACAACGAGAGAGAGAGTTCACAGCGAGGTCGCTCCGTGCAGCTACAAAAAGGAGGGGAGACCCTGCTGTAGTAAAACAAGATATACTAATAAAACAGTAGCAATATTATGAACGGTAATGGGAAGTGAGAGCGCACTGGGTGCCCTTCAGGCTCAACAGGGCGCGCATGTAGACTTGTATTATTTATTTTTCTCTCAAATAAAGAGCAGGAGCTTGGGAGGATATTTTTGGGAAGGGATCGAGGAGCCCCGAGTGTGGAGAAAATGTGCGGTGATCAATCTTTCACTGTTGCAAAGGGCCTGACAGCGGCCCCTCTTCTTTCCCTAAATACCCCCACCCCACCCCACCCCACCTTCCCTTCCCATCTAGTTGCCGTGTTTTAGTATATTTATTTGACGTTTTCGCACAGGTTTTACACGCGCATATATAAACGCCTATACAAAATAAATAAATAAAAATCATAAAACCACTTAGATACTATTGGAGGATTGGTTATTTAGCTCTTCCCTCTTTTCCCATGCCATTTGCCTTCAACCCGTCTGATTCTGAAAGGGACGACAGACAGGGGGGAAACGGCAGAAAAGCGCGTGGGAGTCAGGGCCATTGAACGCAGCAGAAAAGGCGCGTTCACACAGCACACACGAGCTGCTGACTGAGCTCCAGCAATACAATGCACCGCAGTCGGTTGCGTGGCTGGTCTATATTTATTTTTTAAGATCCTATTTGAAATTATATGCACAAATCATTCTTTTTTGTAAAATACCAACAATATTATTGGAAGTTTTGTTGGCAAACAAAGGCAGTTTTTTTATCACACGCGACACGTGGATTGGTCGACTGAAGATTGGGATTTGTGACTTCTATTTTAATTTATTTGGCAGTCAATTGTTTTGTTTTAGGGTTACTCGGTTTTAAACAACGATTATTACCATACGATATTATTTGAATTGGGATATAACTGCTCCTCCTAATATTCATAGTTGGGATTTTCATTTGTGCGTTTATGTATTTATTTGTTTATATTGTTATTGTGATTTGTAGTATTATTATTATTATTACACTGGTGTTGTTTTTGCATGATAAAACAATGTAATCTGCTCTCGTCTGACGTACTTTCTTGACAAATTCCCTGGCTCAAAATCGTCAACTTATTATTGCGATTATACTGTGTGACTACAATATGGGTTGCGCATAACTGTGAGCGCGTTCCGTAGCTGTACTGTTTTCAGTGTTGCTCTGAAGCGGAGCCCTCCGCCACTTTTTATGAGGCAATAAATTAGATCCAATCTCTGCTTATTGGTGTTTTTATTGTCTGTTAGTCCAACGGAGATGTAAAGGGAAGTGCAGCCATTATTTACGGGAGCCTGATTTATGTCCAAAGTTGTATGCTGCTCTCAAGCGTCTCAGCGTGTGAGAGAGTAAGAAAGATAAAGGGAGGGGGGATGGGGGGGTAGACCATGTGACCGGAAAAGGGGGCAGGCCTTGGGGCTTTTCTTTAACGTTAACAAAATCACAGGACATTTAGGATCTTTATGCGTGTGAAAAAGACAGTAGGAGGAAAATAGAAATTTCGGTAGAAAGAAAACATATATGCAAACCAGAAATATATATTTTATACTTTTATATAATACTATATAATCCTTTTTAAGATCAAATGTTTCTTAGGTTGTATACGTTTATTCTGCCCACACAATTAACATTCACAGTAAGATACAATATATGGAATTCTATTAATTATAATATGGATAGATGTAATTCAGCGTTCTGATTGGTTGAGAGGGAGTCACGCGGTGTGCATCATTCAGCGGTAACGTAGAGTTGCTGTTCACATTGATCCGAGGGTTCACTGCGCAATCAAAGTAACAGGTTAGATTTTGTGCGACGGAAAAAAGACCGGAAAATCTTTCGGAGCTTTTGTAACCGGACGACTAAGGTGGACGTCATGAGCGATGTGAATGAATGATATGCTGCGAGATCTTGCAAGGAGACCCAATGCTGTTTACTTGCACGCACAGGGACTGTTTTTCTCTAGACTACTGAAATGTGATACACAACGTTTGGTGGCTTGTAGGCCTACTCTTTTGTGCTGAAAGGCAGCTATTTACTTTACTGGTAACCATATTATAAAAGCAATAAAGTACTTTATCTTCAATAATGTAACAGTTGAGCCTCGAACGTTTGAATTTAGCAACTTAAATAAATGATCAAATTATTAATAAATTAGTTTCTGCATGGTACAAATATAACAAGACCAATACTACTTATGAATAACTCTAACCATGGTGGACCGTCTCACATTAACTTAGAGCAGAAGAAAACATGGCTCCACCAGAGCTTTCAGCCACACCACACGGTCTCACTCACCATTTGAAGTCAGAACTCTAACTTCCACGATTGAATTTAACCTCAGAGTAGAGTGAGCGCCCCTAACCCAGAGGAACAGACGGCTCTCGCGTGAGGTCATATGGGGTGTTGGTGTCTTTGCCCAAGGACACCTCAGCAGCCATGTTGTGTGTGGGGAGCATGTCCTCTTACTATTATTTTTAGTTGTAGACAAAAACAAGGGGGGTAACGTCAATGTTTCCTCGTCAGAGGGAGAACAAGCATGCAAGAGGTATCAGGTTTTAGTTTTCGCCCTTCACTGAGATAAGGCCCTGTGTCTGACGCACACACACGGTGTGGATCGTAGCTGCTAATCCGAGCGGTAAATGAACACCCGTTGCGCAGTTGCATGCCTTTAGAACATGGTTCAGCCCACTTCTTTCTGAAGCCATAAAAGAGACTTGCGGCAGACTGGAAGTTTCCCTAAAGATTTTTCTTTACTTCTGACATGTTACACGTTGCTCTCGGCTTCTGAAGTAATTGTTCAGAGGTTCCTTTCTGACAGCAACACCATGATTTAGCCCCGAGGTATTGACCCAACATTCAATATTGGCACGTCAGTGCCCCCTCGTTGGAAAGAAGTCACTCTCAGAGGAGATCCTTAACCATCAGATCCAAGGGGAACAGCACATTATCCTCCACGCTGTGCTGATCACACAGCAAGTGGAAACTAAATGATTTTTGCAAGGTTTAGCAAATTTGAAAAGCTTTGAAATGTTGTGTTTGGTGAAAGGGTGGTTCTTCCTAATTATTTTTTTTCTGTTCAATCCTTAGGTTTGGTTGACTTTTTGTCAAAGTAACTTGACTTATTGTAAAAGTTTGGCTTATATTTAACATTGGTGTGCAGTTGATCGCATATTTACACAGCTTTTTCGACCACAGTTGGTGGCGAACCAAGTTATTTGTATGTTGCCGTGACAATCGAGACAATCGTCCTTGGCAGGTTTTTAGCTGACAGCGACACTGCTGATGATAAGATGATAACGTTTGAATAACTGGAGGGCACTTGAGAGTCATAAACAAACTAAAGATATCTCTGAATAACATAACATTTTATTAAAGAATTGTTTGACAGACAACTCTCTCAACAATGAAATAAAATAGGCTAGCTAGTACTTAAATTGATCCGACTATGCTAGGACAGGTCACCAATCCCGGTCCTTGCATTTTTCCCTGTACAAGCCAAGACATGTATGTACAAGGGTCATTACATAAAAACTACGTATTCTTCTTCTAAAATACAAGAACTAAAAAATTGTAACTTCAGTACAATGGACAAGAAGAAACACAATGTTTTTTTTCTTTCATAACATGTAATACTAGAAAAGTACAGTCTTTTTTCTCAATATAAATACATGAAGGATAAATAATAATAATACAAAAAAGAAAGTATGTTTTAAAAAACTGGCTATAACAAATAAATATTTAGATATGAATGTTCACTTGAACATTGGCAAAAGACACTTTGATTGGAGGGTCTTCAAAATAAGATTTCATTATTATAATCTTTTTTTTTTACCTTTACCATCTAAATGTAAACTCTAAGTGCAACAATGATGCCCAGATATGAAAAGCTTTTGTGTAGAGCTGCACTTCAAAAAACAATACAGGAGAGCAGAGACCACACATTAGGTCACATATCTGGGACATGCATTCTGTTCAAATATATACCCTGTATCCACGTTAATAGTCAAGATATGTGAAAACAAAACATTATAAAATGTGACAACCTCTGCATTGTGTTCGCTAAAGTCGCCTTAGTGAATCCTTCCAAAGTGTGGGTGGGGGGGGGGGGGGTAAATAACTTACCCAAACATAAATAAAAACTTCTCCACTCTTATTATTTACCCTGTTTCGATGATGTGCTAAAACAAGAACATTAAAATGTCTTTTCCATGTCCTCTCCTGTGTTTGTGTGAAGACATCAACAGCCGCTCACCTGGCGGTCTGGTATGTCAACAAAAGGAAGCTAGTTCAGCCTCGCTGTGCGTGCGTGCGTGCGTGTTTGGAGGCCCGAGCTTAGCTTAGCTTAGCGCAGACGTGCGTGTACGTGGGAGCTAGTTTAGCCCTTGAGCTAGTAGCTTCTTAAACCCTGTAAAGATTCATGGGGTGGGTATGTGCACATGTGGTTGATGATTTATGTGTGTGATTGTGTGTGAGTGTGTGTGTGTGTGGGGGGGGGGGGGGAAGTTGAAGAAACCACGGGTTAATAGCGATTGGGTCTGGTCCGGCAGGAGGAGACAGCAGAAGAGGGAGGACACGTCCAGTGCTTTTCTGTCGTACGCATGCGTTGCTCCACCTCTACGCCTGATTGAGAGGCGGAGCCCCGCTGACAAGAACGGGGTGCTGCCCGGAGCTCGCAATCATAAATCCAACCACCTCATTAAACAGCCCATTAAAATTTCAACTATTTCATTTGCCACCCGGGAAAGCTGCTTGACGTGTGTGTGTGTGTGTGCGCGCAGGGGGGAATGTTTACACAACATGCCATAGCCTGCACCAAACATGCTAGCTGAGCTACAGCTGCAGTGTGCTCCACCCACACCAACACACACACACACACAAGTATTGGTTGTGTAACTTTACACATTATAGAGATTTGAGGTCGTCATGAACTTCTGTTAGTAAGAGTCAAGGTGGTGGTGTTCTGATGGACAGTGCAGTGGATTACCTCACTAAATGACGGCACTCGCCGTGCAGCTGCCGATATGTCTCTGAACCAATGCGGCCAGATCAGCTTGCTGACATTTATTGTCCCCAGTGGGGGGGACATGGTAGACAATTGACTGTACATAGTGCTTACTCTATGCTTTGCTGCACCTGGGACACCCCAGAGGGATGAGTTGCCTAAAAAAAATCACTTCCTGTACAAGGATGTAAAAGAGGAAGTTTGGTCCCTGGCTTTTAAAAAAAGTGTTGATTTTACTACCGTTACATTACACTGCTTTACCTTTTTTGTGAGCAACACGCAAGGGTTGCTACCAACAATAATAGGCACAACCGTAATATATATATTTTTAAATCAAATTAGCTGCACTTTAGAGGGAACAGTAAAAGCTTAGCCCTAACTACAAGGCGGTGGAAACAAAGCAGCTGGACAACGTTGGTTGCTGCCCCAAAAATTAACCACTGGACGGACCCTGTCTGTCTCCCTTGGTCCCTCATGCCGTCCCGCTGCAGCAGTAGAGTCCCTGCGCGTTAGTTGATCTGTTAGTGTGTCTTCTTCACTATCATCCTATGTCTTTCCTTTTGTGTTCCAAACCTGTTACAGGTGAGTGAGCTTGGGTGCTTCCTGGATTCTGCCCTGAGTTGAGGTGTGGTGCGCCGACAGCTCGGTGTACGTCGGGTGCGTGGGCGGATCGCAGGGACCCGGGGGTCCCCCTCCGCCCACATGGTGCTGGTTGGCAGCCGACATGGGGCCTGCGCTGCTGTAGTCCATGGTTTGGTGTTGGGGCGGCGTGGGGCCGAGGTGGTTCAGCCCATACATGGAGGGCCCCGAGCCGGGCATGGGGTCCACGTAGCTGCCGGCCCCCACATAGACGGGGCTGGCCTGCATGTTGGTGGGAGTCCCGTAGCCAGCGTTGTTGGCCTGCACCAGGCCGTGGTGAGGATGAGGGTCGCCGTAGTCCGGGTCTGGGGCACCGTACTTCTGTTGCGGGGGACAGCCCTTCATGGGCACGTTAGAGTAGCCAGTGGACATGGAGTAAGACACTCCCTGGTGGGGCTTGCTAAAGGACGGCGGAGACGGGACGTCGTAGCCGCCCCCTCCCATGGGGTGAATGGAATTGAGGAAGCTGGCGGAGGACTGCATGGTTAGGGGAGGGGAGCCGGTTGGCGAGGGCCCCCCGGAACTGGAGCTCAGGCCCTTGGACTTCTGGTCCTTCTTGTACTTCATGCGGCGGTTCTGGAACCAGATCTTGATCTGGCGCTCGGAAAGGTTGAGCAGGTTTGCCATCTCCACGCGGCGCGGCCGGCACAGGTACCGGTTGAAGTGGAACTCCTTCTCCAGCTCGACCAGCTGGGCGCTGGTGTACGCCGTGCGGGCTCGCTTGGACGACGCCGACGAGCCGCCGGTGGGACTCTTCTCTCCACTGCTGCAGCTCTCGGCTCCTCCTGATGCTGCAGGGGCGGAAGAGAGGAGATCATACAGAGGAAGGAATGACGGGACAAAAATAGGGTGGGAGAAAAAATGCTGGAAGGTATGGAGAGAGCAAGAGCAAATAAAGCACACTCAGGCTGTGTGCTAGAGGCTATAGAAAGCATTCAGGTTGTTAATAAAGCACAGGGCGGGTCCTGGCTCACTGGCTGAATTATCTCCTCATATTATTTGTCAACACTTCATAACGGTGGCAGTTATTAAGAGATGGGAGGGCGGGGGGCTCCTGCGCCAAATTGCATCTTGGCTGGAGAGGCAGCAACAGCAGCTGAAGCACAAAGAGGCGTAAGTCCAGCACTTCCAGGTAAGAAGTGCTCTGAAAGAGCTGGAAGGTATGCTAGCTGAGAGGGCTATCTCACACAACGAGGCCTCCAGCAGATATGCTCCTCACTCTTATGTCATCGCATCCTGTCCATTACGTCTGCTTCATCACTGTTAATTTGGTTGCGAGCCATGAAAGTCGGTTAACCTCAAAATGGGCAACAGCTGACGCTTCATCACTCAAAGCCCACCTGGATGTTCGGAAGATGACAGACCTACAAAGCTGCTGTCACACTGCTTACGCTCTCTGTGAGAAAGATATCAAGGTCATTGCAATAAGCGTTAGTTAATGGGTAATAAGCACCTGTGCACTTAAAAATCATAAAAGCCTTAGAACTTGTCGTTTTGAACAAAATTATGAAACTAATTCGCTCTTTCTGCACTGTAATACATTATGCATCCATCACACAAATTCTTGTTGCTTCTAAATAACGTTAAGGGGGTTGGGGGATCGAATTTCACAGGCAGACCTCATTCTCGAGAGTCATTTAGGGTCTACCTGTTTCGGCTTTTGAGTTGCTACGCGAGCTGTAGATTTTTTCCACGTGGGTTTAGTCGGATCCAATGTTATCAGACATATAATAATAATAAAAAAAAGTGGTTGGAACTTCTGAATTGGCCCAGCCGTAGCAGATTTAGAGTCCTCCCGTTTCCCTGCTGTTTGTTGCCTATGCTTTTATTTCATCACCACTTACTTACTTTACTCACCAGAACACTCTGCCCTTTATCCTGACATACTCCTGATAGACAAAGTAGTTCCAGAGTAATAAGTAAGTAACCTTTTGTCATTGGAATGCCATTTTTGGAGCAGAGGTCAAAAAAACTGGCTAGTGACAGGTAGGTAGAACAAACATACTTATTTTCAAAAGAAACTACATAATTCGGACCGAGTCCTTCTGAAGGTTCCATGAGTCAAAGCTGAGGCAAATGGCAGCTGAGATGAGCTGCCATAGCTCTCTGTTATTGATATATTGTTATAATACAGGCATGCCTGCGATTTGTTCAAGTTCACCCTGAGATCCTATCTTTCCACAACTGCTCTCTCTGAATAGTGTGACGCACAGCCATGGCGAGAAGAGAGAGGTAACCATCACAATATTGTTTTTTTTACGCGGCGGTGACATTCTCAAAAAATGATTGTTTCAAATTCTCATCAATAAGTGATCTAATCTCCTACCAACCCTCGGCCCAGAATGCTTTCTGAATACAAGACTCATATTCCTTATGACGGAGATATTCTTCCCCATCAAACGCTACCAATCTGTCTGCTTCGATGACTGTTTCCTGCCTGTTATCAAACATGCAGATGATATGCAAAGCCATCACCTGCACACGTTTACTAATATCTTCCATATCAAATCTCTGCATGTCATTGATACCCTCTTTCTCTTCGCCTGTTATCATACATAACATTTAAATTCACCCTCCTTTTTTCAATGGGTTTCCAAGGAGGAGGAGAAGAGAGGGGGGACTGGAGAAGAGAGGGCATCCGCTCAGTAGGTTTACCAGAACTCTGACTAATCTCGCTCCTCAGTTTAAACTCAACCATTCAAATAAAACCATGGGAACATCTTTGCCTCCAGGGAACCGTTGTTGATTGCCAAATAAATGGGTTGAAAACCACAAACACATGATTTTACACTGTGGACTGAAATGTACAAACAGGACAGAATTATGTGAATATTAGCAAGATGGCCATGCCTCTGACCTCTGATCTTGTTTTTACCCTTCACCGCAAGACCACATTGTCTTATTTTTTAACACTGTGCTTAAAGATGCCAAGCAGGCTTTATTCAGGCTTCCTCGGTCAGCTTCCTCAGTGAGATGTGTGAAACCAGCTCACATTTTAAAATGTTATTAGACGCCTAAATGACCTTGGACCAGAGCACGCTGACTATCCAGCTTCAGATTACCCACGTGACTAGTCTTAACCAGGGCCTGTGGAAACCTGTTTTTCCATAACAAGCTGAGAAATCATTTCAATCCTCTGGGGGATCTGGAGCTTGAAAGGGGATGTTGATAAGAGGTGAGGAAAGAGGGATGTGGTGATGAGAAGGAAGGAGAAACAGGGGGGAGGGGCGCTAATGAGTAATGAAAACAAAGGAAAGAAGAAATAAGAGGGTAAAAGGAATCAAAGAACGAGAAAACGAGGGAGAGAGACTGGGGCAAGAGGACACATTGCTATGGGTAGGGGAGGGAAACCAAAGCAGAGACAGGTGTAGTGGAACACACCATTTCCAGAGTTGTTGCTGGGTGAAGAGTTCTTCTGCTTGGTTGCCTGTCGACACTCCTTCATCCATGGGAAGATCTGCTTGGCCACGGTGGGGTTGGGGGGCAGTGAGGAAGATGAGGATGACGTGGAGGAGGATATAGACGAGGACGAGTCAGACAACTTGTTGGGCCCTGATTTGGAGACCGAGGAGGCCACGCCGCCGCCCCCCGGCGGCTGGGCCCTGGTGTTGCCATTGCTGGAATTGGGGGGCAGCGGAGGGGACACCTGGAGCCAGGTGGTGCTCGGAGGGCAAGCTGGGCCGCATGCAGCTGACGTTCAGATCCTTGGTCTTGACCAGCTGCTGCTGCTGGTGGCCCCCGTTACTGCCCAGTGCCTGTAACGAGCAGGCCGAGCGCTGGTACGAGTCCACGTCCAGGTGGGCCGCTGACTGGAAGGCCGGCTGGTGATGGGACACCGGGACCGGTGCATCGTAGCCACCAAAGCCGTTGCCGGCCGCCGCCCCTTGCACCTGGTAGGACGAGTAGCCACCGAAGAGTGCAGAGGAGTTGTCGTAGTAGGTTGTCTTCTGCATTTCTGAGAGAGGTGGCGGCGTCTTGGTGTGCTCCGGTCCTTGCTGAGAGCCGCTGCCGGAAGACCATTTGGCACCGGGGTCACGTGGCGGTGTCTCTCCAGCGGCCTCCTGCAATCTGACCTGAAAGGTTAGGAGAGGCAGAACAGAGAAATGAGAGAGATAAATCCATCTTCCTCTCATGAAAGGCGCCATGACATGAATAGAAACCACTGCTTTTCTTTCTTCACCCCCCGCCCCCCCTCAACCCTCCCCCACCCCTCTAAGCATTACACAGCCTGCAGATGCTATAGTGGATGAGGCATCAGGAGGGCACACAGTGTTCACACACACACACACAGAAACACACATATGCACTCATTAGCAAATGTTGGATTTTCACATAAATTCAAATTTTGTATTTAAAAATGATTATTATATTCTTATTTTGTAATTGTTTGTTATTTTCCAACATTTATTTTTATGTAATAGCTCATTTACCCATTTCATTAAAGCTAGAAGTGATCATAAAATTAGGTTATGATTTCAGCAATGAATTTTAAAATAAAGTTTTACTTATATGAACTTAGGAATCCAACGACAAACAATGTGTGGTCATTATTGCTTTGAACATCACTATACGTCATATTCTTATATACTTAATTTCATTTCACTTCAAGTTGTTTTTCAGATTATATATTTTTTGTTACTGTTCATAATAAAGCACTACCCCATCCTGTCTGCTGTTATTCAAGCCGTGACGTTTTATCTCGTGATTGCGCAGTATATATATATATGTGTGTGTGTGTGTGTGTGTGTGTGTGTGTGTGTGTGTGTGTGTGTGTGTGTGTGTGTGTGTGTGTGTGTGTGTGTGACTGATGCAGGTAGCCTCCTTCTGTCAGCCTCTGCCTTCCGTATGATTTAGTGTTTGGGTCTGCGCGGCTGTTACCTCACTCATTTTGGATCTCCAGAAGCGGTCGTTTGCAGCCGAATAAAAGGCCGTTTTTATTCTTTTTAACTGGCCAGAGGAAAAACGCCTTATTATTGCAGATGATTGAATTTTTTTACATTAATTTTTAAAATACAGTAAGACATAAACACAAATTGATTATGCCCACAACAGGCAATTTGAAAATGCAAAATACATTTGATTTTTTTGGGTTAATGGAAATAATGATTTCCAGACTGTTCCATTTGGTTAATAGGTTGCCGATAGGCTACGTTCCACCAAATTTAAGCAAGACATAAACAATAATACTTGTGCTTGCGTCCAGAACAAGATGCCATTAAAAAGAAAAAAAGGACCCAGTGAAGAAGCTTCACGAGTCATTGATTCATTAGGATCGAGCTTTATCACGGCCGGGGGAGGAAGGGGAAAGAACATAGCCGTCTAACCCATACATGCGCCCCGTCACACCCTCTCCCCTAAGGGGGGACGGCTTGTTAGACGCGAGGGAGAACCTGGCATGCACTGCTGCTCGATAGACATCCCATGTTGGCCGGAGGCAGATGGAGATGAAGCCGCTGCGCCCTCTGAAACTGGCCTGCTAGCGCTACAACTATACAACTATTCCTTCATGGACACATAGCGGAGCCTGTTGGAAGCCACCATGTATATTTAACATTTAAGAAAAAAAAATATCAAAGCCTCTTCCGAGTTTCAATACCGAAGAATAAACATAAAAACAAAAAAACATCAAACTGAAATGCTAAATAAAGCGCATGCGGAGATACGTGGGGCCGTTATGTCGTCAAATGGCAGGCCTTCAGCCAGTTTCAAAAAGTTGAGACGAAAAAAAGCAATAAAAAAACGTGCAATTATTTCCACTAGTGCGCTATTAGTGATTCATGTAGTGTTAGTAGACGTTTTTCTGTAAACACCAGCACACAGGCCTAGATAACAGTCTGCATGTCATCCATCAGCAGAGAGAAATAACGAGCAAAAAAAGGGAGAATGCAAATCAAGTTCACTAAAAACGAATGTCCTCTTTCAGATGGGAGCATTTTGGCAAAAAATGTGCACTGTAGAATTAGCATTGTAGCCAATTAAATTGATTAAAAATAGAATCAATATATATTCTTCTTTTTTATGAGACCGGACATTCCAGCCCTTCTCTAGATCTCAGCACGTCGAACACGTCAGCCATTTATCTTTCTAGTAGACAAGCTGGAATCCTAATTATTTACTCTGAGGAATTGTCTCAAGAGGAGAGGGAGAGCAATGGAGACGAAGGGGAGGGCGGCCGTGGCAGTGAGTGTTGGAGGAATATGTTATTAAATCATATCGTTCTTTCGCCATTATACAGAACACGTAATGTCTCTGCCCCCTTGCGTGTAGGGCTGCAGCCTAATACAATCACCAACTTTACTAGACGCCTCCCGGAATAATCCATTTATACGGACAGCGAAACGGCCACCCAAACAAAAACAACAGAGAGAGAGGGATGGGGGGGGGGTGGAGGGGGGGGATCGGCAAATGGTTTCCAGTGTCTGTGTTTTATCCTGGGATATAAAATTACAAATGGCGCCTGCCATGAAAGGAGCAACGCAAGCAGGGAGTCACACAGAGAATGCATTAACTTGGACAATCCACCTATTGCTTATCCCATTAACAACACGCACACACGGTTGGAAAGAGAGGGGCCAGTTATGTGGAGGAGAGCCCAGAAACAACCAAAGATGGACCAGATCAGGGCTGCTGTTGCCAATAGCATCAAAATAATTAACTGTGAAATACAGAAATACAATAATAATAATAATAATAATAATAATAATAGGAATAATAATGGAGTCCGATGGGGGGCAGAAAGTGACAACTAAATCCTCCATAATGGAATAAAAATAACGGGGGGGCTAAATGCGTATAAATAAACAGCTTCAACGGATAGAGGGGGAAAATGGGAAAAGAAAACGAGAAGATAAAGAACAGAAAGAAAAAGGACACAGATGGAAGGCCGAGAGAAGAAGGGGGGGGGGGGTATGTCGCTACAGCAGTTTAAAGCGTTGTGAACTCTTCTTGAACCGGGACTGAAGTCGTATGGGCCATAAATCACTGAGCCCGCCGCTCCGACGTTCTTAAACGGCACAGCCGGCAAACGCTCACATGTCTCTGCTGTATGTTGTTCGGGGTCACGCATTAACCGGCCGGCCCAGCCCCGCGCCGGCGATAGTCCTACCTTTTTTTAGCACCGGTCCCGGTCCAGTCCGGTGCGGACCCGGGAAAACCGCATCACAGATTAGGTCCTATCGCGCGTCTGTGAATAATAATTGAATAAATAACGAATCCGATCACACTCCTGTTTTTGTCCTCTCCTCCTCCTCCTCCTCTTCTTCCTCTTCTTGTTCTTCTCCCCGAAAGCCCGTCGCTCCTCCGGTGCTGTCTCAAGGCTACAGCACGGCTGCTCGCGATCACCACCACCACCTTAACGACTCCTCCCGGAGCCAAAGGCGGCAGCTGACCGGGCCCCGTGTGGGCGGCGGGCCGGGAATCGTGTGGCATGTACGGCCGGCTGGGTCGGCGGACGGGCCGGAGACACCGACCGGGCTTGTTGTAGCCTACGCTAATGGGCTACAGGCAGGCAAGCTAGCGCAGGAGCTGAACGAGTTAACCGGGAGTCTGCCTGCTGCCTGCTGGCCCCCCCACACCCCACCCCAAACCCCTTCCACCACCCTCCTCCGCCTCAGCACCAGCGCTGCCTGCACCACCGCTGGCAGATAACAATGGTCCAATTTGGTTCCCTTTTAGCTGGTGTCGCTCGCGCTGCCAGCCGGCCACTCGTTCATACCCGCCTCTGGGTCGGGCACCTTTCTTATCGTTTTTTTCCTTCCACGTCTCCGTGTCTCGGTCCTCCCGCCTCCCGTCCCCGCGTCTTGCTCTCTGTTGTGTCGCTCGCTCCGGTCTCCGTGAGGCTTTTACCCGTCGGCTTTATTCCACGCGGTGGGCAGCGGCAGCTTGTAGCGGGGACGGACGCGCTCCGTGCGCGGCGGTAACCCAGCGAAGAGCCCGCTCTCTCTATGCTGCTGACAGCGCGCCGCGCGGGTATCAGTGTAACGGGGGGAACAAGGGGGCTCGAAACACCTCGGTGTCATATACAAATATTGCTTTAAGTGAAAGCACGCAGCAGGTGGTTTGTTAGTCACATACAACTGGGCTCGTTTTTAGTTTAGAATTAAGACTCTGAATAGTCGATAAGCCCTCATGCTAACACACACAAGTGACTATTTTCATATTGGTTTAACTTTTAGCTTATATTTAAAGAAGGAAAAAACATGCATGTAGCATTGGCCATATCTTAATTTCCAAATTATGTGATAGCAGTTCACGGATTGGCTGTGGATTAAATACAGTCCACATGTTCAGAAAGACTCTTGCTCAAACCAGATAATAGTAACTAAACCAAACTGCAGGCTCGTCTCATGCCAAGTTGAGTGTAGTCACAACACAAACGCATAGTTGGAGAGCCGGTCGGTGAAGATTATGTTTCCCTTTTGGGAGGATCACTGCACCGTGCACCGGTTTGTGGAGACCCCTGCCCCCTCAACGCACACACACAACACACACACACACACACACACACACACACACACACATACACACACGCATACATCTTCCCAACTTTTACAGGATTACAGGAATGTTATTCCTACTTATTGCCAAATCTTACCTCCCCCGCTCCATAATGTGTTGTTAACAGTTCAACACCCTGTCTCCCTAAATACGTATATAAACAGCAAGTGCTAAATGAATTTCAAAAATACAAAAAAGCCACAGTGGAGGAAGGTGACATGCAGACAGCAACAATGTTGCAACTGAATAGCAAAAAAGCGATGTGAAGCTTTTAATTCATCCACTTGAAAGTCATTTTAACATTTTTAACATCTATCAAGAAATACAAGAAAGCCTAAAGAAAAATAATAATAAAGAAAGTCCTACTATATTGTCATGCACACACACACTTCAAATACAATGTCTGTGTCTATGCTCTCTCTCTCTCTCTTTCTCTCTATTTTTCATTCAGGATGCTACCGCTGTCGTTTATGGGTACGTAAGATTTATGAGCTTTCTCGCACCCAGCAGCGTCAGTGTGTGTGTGTGTGACAGAGAGAGAGAGAGGGGGGGGGGGGGGGGGGGGGTAAAAGAAAACCAGAGTGTAAAATGCCCACAAAAATAAGATTTCGCCTTTTATCTGTTGAAAGAGGGGGACGCCCCCCCGGTTGGGGGAAGGGGGGGCCTCAAAAGGGTACCCACGCAACCTTTCTCTCTAACCATTTTCTCTTGTTGAGGAAAAAGACCTGAGGAGCTGCTTACCGTCTTCCGAAAACACCCCTCTCCATCTAATAAAGTGTGTCACGGATAGACATATTTTTCTCTTGCTTTTACATTAGTTCTACGCGGGGTCAAAAAGAGAGGAGGGAAAAACGGCCCGCGTGTAAAACACACTATGCTTCTAAAAAAGGAGGGCAGATTTTTCCTTTCCTTTTTTAAAAACTTTTTCTGCTCGGATGGCAGACACACGTTGACGGCTCAGTGTTTCGGATGGAGTCACGGATATTGGGTTCCACAACTGAAGCTCTCTAGCAGAGCCATGGAAATCCCCATTGGATGCCACTAAGAAATCTCCTCCAAACCTCCATTCGTCCATTTTACATACTATTTTATACTGTTTCCATGTGCAGAAAAGGGGAATCATTTGTAACATGTGTTCCTTGATGATTTGGATTAATAAAGACCCACCTCCGTGACCTAATCCATTCTGCTGCTTTTGCTCATTTCGTTACATTAGCGTCTCGGTCATTATTGCAGCAGCTGTTTTAATAACTGTTTTATGAAACGATGACGGGAGCCTGCTGCAACCATCCCACTGCCCTTCACACTTTAGACGGCATTACATGATATTTTACCACACACACACACATTTAACTCATTTGCATAATTTCTGCAGATTGGGTCGATTTTTAAATCGAATAAATCAAGTAAATAGACTATTTGTGGAGAAAACGAACGACCATCTCCCTACTCACTTTGCGCTCACTTCCAACATCATGGCGTGGAAATGATATACCCAATATTGACGAAACCTATACAAATACCAACAATCAGGAATACCCTACATTACGGAGCAGAAAAATAGTTTAAAAATATATATTTTCCCCATGAAAAAAAATATGCAGCGTTGTGATCAGATCGAATGGTCAAAATCTAAATAATTCAGCAGGCACAACAGGGGTTCAAACAACATGATCAGCTCATTTCTAAACTTACACAAAGAACCACGTTAAATAAATACACACATATGTATAGAATTAAACAGCGGGACTCACCGAAAGATTGCCTCTTGTTTGCTGATGTTTTGGCGGAAGGAAACGGCTTACAGAAAGCTCCTAAGAACTGTAGCGGGAGACGAAAACAGGGAGGGAGAGAAACAGAAATGCAATGAAAAGGTTTTGTTAACATTGGACACACGGCACAGACTTGTTGTAGTCCGAACGAGCGGCCTGGACGGAATTATTCCCGCGAAATATCCTGGAATAAAAGCAATAAGGGCAGCGAGGGCGACAAAGAGGAACCGAGTCTGGATGGGAGCGATTTGACGTGTTATTGATTCTGGTTATCATATTACACGTCATTTTGTATCCGCCGTATTTGCTCTTCTGTTTGAAAATCAAAGCAGCGCAATGTGGGATGTAGGAGATGGGACGAAAGGAAAGAGTTCTAAAACCATCCATAAATTATTCGAAACAATAATGTGTAATGAGCTCATGGAGTGTTGAAAGCATAATATCAACCAATATGTCTGTGTTTGGTGGTCTATAATCTTAGAAAAGAGGTAAATAAAGTAACTCAAATGGCAAACAGGCTGCATCAAATATGATATAATAGCTGTTAGGCTATAAGAATGTCAACACAGAAAGTAGTGCATCATTATTGCAAAAATACAGCTAATAGAAAATGATCCCAATCGAACATCCACGAGTTAATCCTGGTTCGTGTTGATCTCAGTGCAGATTATAGTACGAAATATAATCCAAAACGGGGCGTCAAAATCACAAAGTCAACACGCATGAACTCCTCGCAATGATACTGAACAAATCCACCACAACAACAGCGTAGATGAAAAAAAAAGAAAAACAAATCTAAGACCTCCGAAGCGTTGCCAGCCACCGACAGCATTTGGAGCGAGCGAGAAAAAGAAGCGGCCCCATGAGGCGAACAGCTGTTTCCCACGCAGCAGCTCTGCTCGCACGAGGCCCACACAAATCCTCAGCCTCAGCAGAGAAACGCGCATATCCCGGAAGCGTTTAGTGCCCCCATCCTGGAGCAGGAGGATGTATTCCGCCACTGGTAGGAGTCGGTGCACATTCTGCCGCCGCCGCTGTGGTGTAATTCGGTGCGAGCGCTGGATGCATTTTAATAAAGTGCTGGCATAAAAATCTCTGGCGCTCGCTGGCCCAGAATCTGCTGTCTGACAGCTCACCCCTACACATATAAATCAAAAGCAAGGACTCCCCCCGGGGGGGGGCAGACCTCCCCGTACCAACCTGCACAACCACCACTCCCAAGGCCTACTATACGTATTCATTGTCCGCCCCTCTCCGCGCACTCACGCGCATCTCTGGCCAAAGTCCATGCCCGTCGCGGGCCCGTCTCTCCTCACTACTTCAACCCCTGCATGGTCATAGTCGGGTGGAATTAGAGCAGGACGCGGGAGCAGAAGTGGACCAGTCTAAAGTTTCCCAGAAAGTGATCCAAGGGCCCAACTAGCTTAGCAAGCCATACAGGCCGAGACAAAGAGAAGAGGCCGCCTCCAGAGGCCCAGAGAACCGTTGCTGAGTCAGATACTTAAGTGCAGACTGGGGAAGAGAGGGGGGACTTTTCCATAGTCACGGATCGGGATCCCAAATCTGAATAAAAATGAGGCAGATGGATGTCTTGGTTTTTGTTTTGGTCTGAGGATTCAATTCAATTCCATTAATTCTGTATGGGCTAAATTCATAAATCACACATCTGCTTCAGAGGGCTTGGCAATCTGTTCACATTCAACATCCCTGGGATGGAGTTAAAATGGTATATTTTGTCTTTTTTCGGCACATACACGCATGGAATGCACATTTAGTGAGTGAACAGAATCCATATATATATATATATATATATATATATATATATATATATATATATATGTATATTTTTTTTTTTAATATGTTGTTAATCTTACTAATTTGCAGGGCCAATACTGAGGCACGAGGGGTCCTTTTCGCTTAATTTGAAAGTCTCACATGACCGGAACAGGAGTTATAACAACTCTTATATCTCCATCTAAATTCTTTTGACCTTATACAAAACTAGACACAAAACTAAAACACTATACAGTTCAAACATTCTAGTACATGACTATCAGGGCCACATCCTTACAGATGTGATAAAACATTAAAGCCCAACCAGGTGGTATTTGCAGGGAAGCAGCACCCAAGCACCGGGTGATATATTGGCCCATAGCGTTCCTAAAGTGACCTTTGACCCGGAAGAGCAATAGCTCAGTTCTTTAATGATCAACCCAGAGCGGCAGCATCTCAATTGTGCTGTTAAATACTTTAATGTTTTGCAACTTTTAATTGTGACACAAGGATATTTAATTTTCAATCCATCGTCCTTTTTGCTGTTTTTGTGAAACATTCAGCTGGTAAAAGCAGAACATTTAAAGGCGTCTCCTCCAACTTCAACACATGAATAATCACATTTTAATGTGTAAGATTATCCACCAAACTATGTTTGCATGTAATTATTGATCAATGTTGTTCATGTATAGATTATACCGCTTGATATCTTTCTTCTTCTTAATCACAGACCATGTAATGATCACATGCAAACATAAGGCCTGTGGACACTTATGTTGGACAATATGTTGTCAAAGAAACAACATTGTAGCCATATATACATATATTATTAATACAATTATGGGTTATAATTCCAAGTATTCCCTTTAAATAAGCAACTGACTTTCTGACTGACTGAAGTAAAAATAGTCAAGGTCAGAGATATAGATATTGTATGATGAGTCCTCACAGCGACGTGTTGTGCATATGTTGCATGCTAAGTAAATAGAGTGTAAAATCACGTTCAAATATTGCACGATAAGTTGATATCATAAAAGTCATCAAATTATGCAAAAATATTGTGTAATAAGACACAGTAAAGCTCATGTCCCCACAACAAGTAGTCGATAATGTTAATATGATGGAATTCTTAGAATTCGTAGAAGTGTGACGGGTTGTGATTGCTAACTCTCTCTCAGTGTTTCATCTTTATTTATTATAGAAGCATTATCGGACAAAGCTGAAGCAAACTTAGTTGCAGAAGCTGAAAAATTCATAATGGTGTGACCTTAAAAAGCTTTGGCCTGAAACGACCTAGCGATGGAAACATCCTCACGTGTATCCAATTTCCTGATTTGACCTATTTTACTGCTAAACCACTGGGCTTGTAGCCAACCGCCTTCCTCCCAAAGTTAGGCTGACTGTTTTCCCCACATGCTGAACTCTGTAGGTCTCACTTTAATGGTAAAAAAAGAAAGAGAGGAAGAAATATAAACCCATCAATTGGTTCACACGTGATGACATTTACTAGACACATTTAAACTCATGCACATTCCGACACCGTAGACTTTCTCCCAATTCCACCCACTATACAATACGTAACCTCAGAAAACTCCCTGCCTGCATTTTCTTCACTTTTCCCCCTGCTCCGGGGGAAACCAATTGCATGCTTTTCAACACCGTTTCTCAGGGCAGCAAATAGATGCTGCTGAACAGGAGAGAGGCCAGTGTGTTTAATGAGAGAGGTCTGTCAGTTTGAACTCTCAGTTGAGCTGCCCCCAGCACAGTTACAGTACAAACCCAATGATGGCAATCAATTCAGACCACTTCCACGCTCAGGCGGCTTTGTCTAACATCTAACACACACTCTGAATACACATCGCAGGCTATTCATTTTACAAAATAGTCCAAACTGGATGACCCCTTCTGGATGCATGCATCACACATGCAATTTATAGTTTACAAAGTTATCTAAGGTCAACTGGAAAGCTGAAAATATCCCACCACTCATAAGCGCTGGCTTTTGTTTTTGATTTCCAACCATATTCAGAGGGGAACCTCTGCTCATATGAAACTAATGTCCAACATTACAACAATACGACCAAAAACGGCCCAAACTTTATGACGTCAACAAAACCCCCTCCCTACAACATCCCAGGATGCCCTCGAACCACCAAATGTCACGCTGTCAGCGCCTTCCTTTGATGGCAAGTTAATCTTTATCAGAGATGCTAATCTTTAACCTCAAACCCAACGAAAGAAAAAAGGCCCTGAGAGGGAGAGAGGGGGACAGAGGGGGAGAGAGAGGGAAGGAGAAGCGATGTGGAGTTCTCTTTTATACTCCCGGGCTATGAAAAGTGCCAAGCTCACCAAGTCTGTCAAGAAGGAAGAACAGGGATGGATGTGACTTCCAGTGTGTGCATGTGTGTCGAATACTTTAAATTTAAAAAACGTGGATGAATATCCTGTTATCTGTCGGTGTGTGAATCATCCAGTTGGGGATGTTGCGTTTTGGCACTGTCAGTTAAACACAAGCTCCCTCCCTGGCCTGCCCCTGGTGACACGTCTCTGTGCAGTCGTTTTTGGCATGGTGTTGCAGTTGAGAAATTGGATTTTACTAATTGGCTGTTCTAATAGCTTTGAGGCCCCACGTGAAGGAAGCGGCATTGTCGGTACAACGGCCCACATTCGTTTCATATCATGCTCTCCTGACACACGGATCATAATAAATGAAATAGAGGGGCTCCGGGGCTGTCAGCATTTACAGTGTGTGTCCCCCCTCGCGTCCCCCTTCTCCCGCAATTCTACTCCGATCAGTGTGTTGGCCAGTTTTGTCAGTGATGTATGAAAATAATCGATCACATCAAAGCAGCACTGTTTTTTTTTACTTCATCTTTATGAGCGGAAGTGAGTAAAAGCCAATGAAGTCAGCAGAGCTTCATTTGTCTATCTATTTATTGATACAATCCCTTTGGGGTTTCTTCAAGATAGTTGTTGTTGTTTGTTAACGTTGTTGTTAACTTTGCTAGATTATGTGTTTTAGATATATTTTTATTTTATTGTCCTGAATGAATTTTGTCTTGCAGACGTACAGTGTCAGTCTGTTAAGCAACACAGACGATAACATAGAGCACACATTACGTTACGTTGCATCCACAGATTGTCGCCAGACAGCAGGTACATTTCACACTGCCCGTCATAGAAACACGTGCGGTGTAGTGTAACAAAAAAAGATTAAAAATGAAGCAAAATACATGAAAAATTATAAGTAAACAAAAACAAAAGTCTGCGGGGGTT